GAAGGGGCTATGGGCTTTGGGCTCACTCATAGGCCTAGATATTAGACAGGGCTTAAGAGGCTCGCGCCCATGTAGTTCGGGCCGGTTATACTTCGTATCAGATAGGGCTAATCCGAATTGGGCCTCTGCAAGATTAGGCCTGGTCATTCTTCACAAGTGATCTTATTTTCCTATTTGGGCCGAAGACGATTTTTGGCCCTAACAGTTTGTCCCCCACTCATTGAGTTGAGAGTAACTCAAGTCAGAGAGTAGGTTACGTAAAAGGCGAGCTCGGTCTTCCCTCATGGACGAACGACCATTAAAGTGATTGCTTTGACCACTACAGGTGATTCTTGGTTGAGACTCGCTTGGTATCTCCTCCCGAACCAAAATTTTCTATCCTTGTGCGGTGCCTGGTCGGTTCGGCCAGCTGAAGAGTAGGGAGTCAGATGCGATCGGTCGGTACATCCGCACGACTGGAAGGAGACTTAAAAGAGGCATTCATTCGACATGTCGGGTCGGACAAGTTCAGGAGGTATTAAAAGTTTCGATCGGTCAGGATGAAGGGGCGACTAAGCGGGTGAGGCGTCTCGGGTGCATGTTGTCCACTCGTTCTTTACGGACGGGTGATTGGGCGAGATTCAAATCTTGCTCCGAAGATGGTTCGACCCGGACCATTCTCAACTCGTACATCGGTCGACCAAGCCTTCCGGGCCGACTGAGCATGGGATGCTTGGGAGGGCCCCCGGACCGAAAAGTCGGTCGGGTGGATCGAGTGGCCAAGTGAATTTGTTGGCTCGTGTAGACTGGACACGTGTCGGATTCATTCCAGGCGGTACAAATGGAGTCGGTCGGAGGGGACGAGCGATCTAGATGCAGATTCCATACGGAACTAACGATTCCCCAGGTGATTCGGATCGTTGCCACGTGTATGGTGGTGATCTGTCCGTCGTTTCGAGAGCGGGAAAACGAAGAGACTCCTGACACCTGACCAATCACAGCCTGCCACGTGTTCACGCTTTCTTTACAAAATTGGAGAGTCGGCTGTTCGTCTTCCATTCGCGTTGGTTTTGGGTTTTCATCTGAAAAAAAATTTCTCCCTTTTTTCTTCGTTTTTGTCCCAGTTTCTTAAGCGAAGGTGGTCTTCTCTACAATCATCCGAGGTAATTTTTCCTTTTGAGGTCGTTTTGCTGTTCTGTAGGTAGATTTCTTTTTGATGCAATTTCTGGGAAGCAGGATAAGGATGTTTTGAGTTTTTGAGTGGGTTTAAACTGGGTTTCCAAGCGTTTTGGTGTTAGGATTTTGGTGAATAGGCATGGGTTTGAATTTTCCGGTGGATATCCGGGAAGAATTTGGTCGTAGGTGAATTTTTTTTCTGGGTTTTTTGGATTGGCTCTGGAAGACGAAGTCGACTTTGGCGTTGTTTGGGTCGGTCGGTACGCCTAACCGAGTGGCGAGAAGGTGTGTGGTGGAATAGGGGATCGGTCATTCAGGGTGAGTGAGTATAGGTTGAGGGGTTAGTGATCGAGGTGAGTAGACTAGGATTGAAATTGGAGGTAGATCGGTCGTCTGGGGCAAACGAGTTGGTGCTCTATTGATTTTGGCTTAGGGTCGTTCGGTTGGAGGGGTCGACCCAGGGCAAAGGCTCTCGTTGTCGGGCAGGTCGACTAGCAAGCTTTTTCTTTTGGTCGGTCGGCTAGGCGGGACGACTGGCTAGGGTACCACTTCAGTAGAACGGGTCGACCGAGGTTGAGGCCGGTCTTGAGGGCATCGTTTCGGTGCTGAAGGGCGACCTGTAGTTGACACTTAGTGCTTCAGTTCGAGTCTCCTAAGGAATGAGTCGGTTGGTTTGGACGGGCGAGTGATCCGATGTCAGACGATACATCATCAGGTTCGAGTTAAGAGGTGGTGGACGTTGGGGACGAGTATGAGCGTGCCCCGACTATGGTGATAATGCCTGAGGGGAGCGTTCCGGTCAGCGTGCCGACTGCAGTTAGTGTTGCTGCTGCAGGGTCAAGTGGAGCTGGGCCGAGTGGCTCGGGTCGGTATGGTAGAAGTGGGGAAGACTCCGGAGGGGCTGGCAGTCCCTCTTCATCCGGTAGTAGCTCTGAGGAAGGGCCGAGCCAACAGGGCAGTGGGATTCTGACCAGAGATTATCCGCCCGTGCTGAGGGATAGTGACGTCTGGCGTATCCGTACACTGTATCATATCCTTGGTTCTGTCAAAGTCCGGACCCCGCGGTCATACGAGCGGGTTGATTGGGAGGCTGAAGGTTGGGTCTGCATGTACGAGAAATGGTTTCATGATGGGCTGAGGTTGCCTGTGCCTCGCCTCGTCTGGGAGGTGCTGAATCACTTCATTATCGCCCATTCCCAACTTATGCCGAACGCCTGGAGACTGTTGATGGCTTTGGAGGATCTGTGTGTTCGGCATCAAATTGTGTTTGGGTTGCACGAGCTACTGTACTCGTACTTCCTGAAGGAGAACGATAAGGAGAAGGGCTGATATCTGCTAAACTTGAGGCATGACCGGTCTCATCTGGTGACCGACCTGCGGTCTAGTGATAAAAACTAGAAGGACTGCTACTTTTTCTTGAAGGGTCAGGCCGTTTTTGGAGACAGGGTCACAGGCGAGATTCCGATCAGCTGGCGAGCTACTGGTGAGAACTTCATTGTTTCTTTTGTACTTTTGATTACTAAATCTTGATTATGTTTTTTGTTTGCAGAGCTCGATTTCAATCGCGCTGGGCAGAGCGGGGACGGCTTGGACGTAGCTACCCAGAGGGTGTTAGCCATCCCATTGGAGCAGAGGGATTGGCGAGTGGTGCTGGTAGAGTCTAATCTGAGGAGCAGTATTCTTTGGGCCGGAGTAGAGGCTATTCAGAGAGGTACTCCCTTCCCCTCGCTAAAGCAGACTTGGGATGTGCTCCTGAGTCGATACTGCAACCACATCATTTTTGGTGAGTTCGGGCTGAACCCACTAACCGTTGGAGAGTTTGCACTTGCAGAGTCCCTAATGAAGAAATTGACTGTCCCGAGCACGAGCGAATCCATCGCCAGGCGTCAAGAGAAGAGGAAGAGGGAGTTGTTGGTAAGGGCGGATGCGAGGGTTGAGAATGTATTGGCGACGCCACCCAGTCGACAGCCGTCGAGTCAGCAGCCTTCGGCGGGAGTCGGGTCGTCCCAGGCTACCGTTGTGGATGAGGAAGCCGGGACTATTACCATTACGCTTCCGGCTATTGCGTCGACTTACTCGGATGCGACCTCTATGAGTAAGCTGGCTGACTCTTTCTTGTTCCTAGCGGACGAGGCGCGTCTGAACCAGATGGGTGCGGTTGCTGCCGCTAACTGGGGTGTATCTCACGCCGTTCAGGTATGGCAGTACTTGTTTATTTTTCTTGTTTGATTCTGTTCTCATTACTCAGTTTTGTTGTGCAGGTACTCACTAGCAGTCTCCATCTAAGGAGGTCTGTCGTGGCACAGGAGAAGCGGATACAGGATGTATCCAAGGCCAACGCCGGTTTGCGGCAGAAGGAGGCAGCATCCCGGAAGGCTGAACAGGAGAGTCAGCAGCGTCTCGGGGATAGTGAGGCTGAGGTCGAGAGACTACGGCGCGAGTTAGCCGAGAGGACCACAGAGGTCAAGTCCCTCAGGGAGCAGTGCATCTCCATTGCTGATGACGCCATCATAAGGCCCGAGGCGAGCTCATGCTGGAGTTTAAAGAAGGGCGGACTTCTCATTGGGATCCAGATGAAGACATTCTGCTCATGCAAGAGTTGTTGGAAGAGGAAACTGGTTATCCGGTGGGACAGGGCGAGGAGCAGGCACCTGAGCTTAGTCAGCCGGGTGTTGGTGACGTGAGCGACCTGGTTCCGGGGCCGAGCACTAGTGGTGCTTGCGTGGCGACTGATTTGATGGAGGATGAGACTCGTGCCGAGGATGCTTAGTGTTCACACTTTTTTTTTTGTATTTTGGGGCCTGCGATGCTCTTTTGTCTGACGTCTGTGTCGTTTTTTGTATTCTGAACTTGGGCGTTTGGTGCCATATATATTACTTTTGATTGTTCGGGTTTCTCGTGTTGTCTCCTTGGATGAATGAACTGTTCTTTTGTTTCTCTTCCTTATTTTCGTGCGTGTTACCTCAGCGTGGCCTGATGGCTAAGGCATGTAGGCCTTATGTCAGGCTGAGTTGGTGCTTTGGTTAACGGTATAGGACTAGTTCGTTCGGTCGGGTTGACCGAGTGTGTAGTCCCCTAGATGAGTGGCAGTGCATCTTGAGTTCAGTTTTTGGGTTGGATGGGGCCGGTCCCAAGGTGCCAAGTCTTGGATCGGGCAGGGCCGATCTTAAGGTGTTCTCGAGAGTCGAGTAGGGTGGATTCGATCGTGAGTAATTCGTCGTCCAGGTCAACTTGAGGGTGTCCGTACGTATATCCGGCATGGCCGATTTGAAGGTGTCCGTACGCTCATCGGGCGTGGCCGATTTGAAGGTGTTCGTATGTTCATCAGGCGTGGCCGATTTGAAGGTGTTCGTATGTATATCGGGCGTAGCTGATTTGAAGGTGTTCGTATGTATATCGGGCAGGGCCGATTTGAAGGTGTCCGTGCATTCATCGGGCATGGCCGATTTGAAGGTGTTCGTATGTTCATCGGGCATGGTCGATTTGAAGGTGTACGTTCGTTCATCGGGCATGGCCGATTTGAAGGTGTTCGTATGTTCATCCGGCATGGCCGATTTGAAGGTGTAAGTAACTTGATTCGAAGATGATAATTACTGAATAATACTTCATTAAATATCTGGCCATGAGGCCGACTGTCTAAGAGGAGGTGGATAGGCCCACTCATCCTTTTTATTAACAATGAAAAGAAATGAGAAAAGAAAAACAAAATTCCCGTCAAGGACAGGGTTCACCTATGAGTAGTAACGTTTGAGGTGAACCGCATTCCAACTGTTGTTGATGTCTTTGCCCTCGGGGGTCTGGAGTTTGTAGGCGCCCTTCCCTGCTTCTTTGATTATCTTGTAGGGGCCTTCCCAGGTGGGTCCGAGTTTGCCAGAGTTAATCTCCTTGGTATTTTGGAAAACCTTACGAAGGACCCAATCACCTATCCTGAAAGTGCGGATCCTCACGCTACGGTTATAGTGTCGGGCGGCCTGTTGCTGGTAGACTGCGTTGTTGATGCTCGCTTGTTCCCGTAGCTCGTCCACAGTGTCTAGGTTCTGGCAAATGTTTTGGCTATTTGATTTCTCGTCCGCCCACTGGAGCCTGGTGGACGGAACTGATATTTCGGCTAGAATGACTGCTTCTGAACCATATGTCAGGGAGAAAGGTGTTTCACCAGTTGATGATCAAGCCGTGGTTCGGTATGACCAGAGGACTCCGGGTAGCTCGTCCGCCCATGCGCCCTTAGCTTTATGTAATCGCTTCTTCAGTGTCTACATGATTGTTTTGTTTGACGACTCGGCCTAGCCGTTAGACTGGGGGTTGCGGGGTGTTGAGAAGCTTAACTTTATTCCCCACATGTCACAGAAATCCGTGAAGCCTGAGCTAATGAACTGGGACCCATTATCGGTGACAATCTCCTTTGGTATTCTTAACCTATAGATCACGTTCTTCCAGATGAAAGCTTTGACTTCTCGGTCTCTGACTTGAGCGAAGGCTTCGGCTTCGATCCACTTGGTGAAGTAGTCTGTCACTGCCAACATGAAGACTCGTTGCCCCGGTGTAGTAGGTAGCTTTCCCACGATGTCCATTCCCCATTTCATGAATGGCCACGGTGTCAGGATGGAATGGAGTCGTTCTGGTGGGAGGTGCGAAACGTGAGCAAACCTCTGACAGCTGTCGCATCTCTTTGCGTAAGCGATTGAGTCGGTGCGGATAGTCTGCCAGTAGTAACCTACGGTGATCACCCGGTGAGCAAGACTACGCCCCCCTGCATGGTTGCCACATTTGCCTTCATGGAGTTCGGCTAGAACACTTTGGGCCTCTTCTAGGCTTATGCATTTGAGGTAGGGGCCTGAGAACGACTTTCTGAGGAGTTGCCCCTCATGTAGGGTGAATCTGGCAGCTTTTGCTTTCAATCGGCGTGCTTCGTTCTTGCCAGCCGGGAGCTCATCGTCTTCCAGGTACTTCACTATCGAGGTCATCCAACAGTCGGCTTGCTCAATGCCCATGGCTTCTATAGGAGACTTGTTAGGTGGCGGTTCTTTCCAGTTGGCTGGCCACTGCATGAATAGGAGGGGGATGGATGACTGAGAGGAACATGGGAGTGCTGAGCCAAGGTTGGCGAGGGCGTCGGCATGGTTGTTCTTAGCTCTGGGGATCTGTACTATCGAGAACTCTTCGAATTCGGCCTGCAACTCTTTGACCATGCTTAGATATGATGTCATTTTTGAGTCACGTGCTTGGTACGTACCTTGTAGTTGGTTGACCACGAGTTGGGAGTCCGACTTCACTTCTAGTCTCTTGGCGCCAATTTCTCTGGCCAAGGTAAGTCCAGCTAGGAGGGCTTCGTATTCGGCCTCGTTATTCATGCACTTGAACCCACAGCGGACTGCTCGCTGGATGATGTCTCCCTCTGGTGCGATCAGTACTATTCCGAGTCCGCTTCCATTGACATTACTCGATCCGTCTACTAGGAGAGTCCACTTTGAAGGTGGTGCGCCGTTCATGCATAGTAATTCTTTTTCGGCCTGGGCGGTTTCGCTTGGTGTGAAGTCGGCAATGAAATCTGCTAGTGCCTGGGACTTGACGGCGGTGCGTGGTTGGTATGATACGTCGTACTCGCTGAGTTCTACTGTCCATTGCATGAGTCGGCCTGATAGCTCTGGTTTGTGCAATATTTTCTTGAGCGGGAATGAGGTGATCACAACTATAGGATGGCACTGGAAATACGGTCTGAGCTTCCTGGATGCATGGATGAGGGCAAGGGCAAGCTTTTCCAGTTGGCTGTATCGAGTTTCTGCGTCGAGGAGCGACTTGCTAATGTAGTAGACCGGTGACTGCTTTGTTTCTTCTTCTCGAACTAGCACCGCTGATATGGCCGTCTCTGAGACCGCTAGGTAAGTGTAGAGCTTCTCCCCGTCCATGGGTTTGGACAGCAGCGGGGGGGTAGTCAAATACCTCTTCAGCTGTTGTAGGGCTTCTTCGCATGAGGGGGTCCAATCGAACTTGTTGGATTTTTTGAGGGCGTGGAAGAAGAGGTGGCACTTGTCAGCGGACCTGGAGATGAAGCGGCTCAGGGCGGCCACTCGTCCTGCAAGACGCTGGACATCTCTGACGCAAGTCGGGGATGGTATGCTGAGGACCGCTCTGATCTGGTCGGGGTTTGCTTCTATTCCTCGCTGAGTAACCATATAGCCTAAGAATTTACCTGATGAGACGCCGAATGAGCACTTTTCTGGGTTCAGTTTCATGTTGTACTTCCGGAGAATGGCGAATGCCTGGCTAAGGTGGTCGAGGTGTTGTTCGGCAATCAGGGATTTGACAAGCATGTCGTCGATGTAAACTTCCATGGTCTTCCCTAAGTGGTCAGAGAACATTTTGTTGACCAGACGTTGGTAGGTGGCTCCGGCGTTTTTCAGTCCAAACGACATTACTTTATAACAATAGGTTCCCCTCTCTGTGATAAAAGCTGTCTTCTCCTGGTCGTCCGCATGCATCAGAATCTGATTGTATCCCGAGAAGGCGTCCATGAAACTGAGGAGTTCGTGCCCTACGGTCGCGTCTACCATCATGTCGATATGTGGGAGGGGGAAAGAATCCTTGGGGCAGGCTTTGTTTAAGTCAGTGAAGTCGATGCAGACTCTCCACTTCCCGTTCTTTTTCTTTACAACTACAACGTTTGCCAGCCATTCGGGGTAGTGGACCTCTCTGATCATGCCGTTGTTTAGGAGCTTTTCAATCTCTTCATTGATGATCTTGTTTCGCTCAGGTGCGAATTTCCTCCTCTTCTGCTTGACTGGCGGGTGGTCTGGATCTGCCTTGAGCTGATGGACCATTGCGTCTGGATTGATTCCGGTCATGTCAGTATGGGACCAGGCGAAACAGTCTTTGTTCTGTTTTAGAAATTCTATCAGCTTCTCTCTTGTCTTGGGGTCGAGGCGGGAGCCTATGTGTGTCTTCCTCTCCGGGTCATTCGGATGTATTTGCACTTCATCCAACTCCTCAATGGTCGGTTGGTCAGGCTCTGTTCGAGGGATTGGACGAGACTGTAATTGCTATGAAGAGTTTCCCTTGCCTTTGAAGGCGTTTTTGTAGCAGTCCCTGGAAGCTTTAGGGTCACCCTTGATCTCCCGTACTCCCCACTTGGTCGAAAACCTGATTGTCTGATGGAAAGTAGGTGGGACTGCCCGCATGTCGTGGATCCAGGGGCGGCCTAAAATGGCGTTGTAGGGGGATGGGCAGTCGATCACCAGGAAGACTGTCTGTTTGTTTACTCCGCCGGCATAGATAGGAAGGGTGATCTCCCCGATAGTGTATTTCTGCTCCGAGCTGAATCCTACTAGCAGTGTCAGTTGCCTGTTGATATTTGCTTCTTCTAGCCCCATTGCTTTGACTGCTTCGAGGAATAGGATATTCGCTGATGAACCCCCATCTACGAACACTCTTTTCACTAGGATGTTGGCTATTTGCAGGGAGAGGACTAAAGCGTCGTGGTGAGGAGCGGCTAAGGTGATCGGTTCGTCATCCTCGAATTGAATTACCTGATGGGAGTATGTCCTCGAGACCAGGTGGACGGATTGGACTTCATGATGGTTAGTTCTAGCATGCCGTTTCGCTGATGAGTAGCTTACCCCACTGATTTCTGATCCTCCGGAGATTAGCGAGCAGAAACCCTTCGGTGTGGGTTCTCGCGGAGGGGGGGACTGTTGTTTGGAGCTTTTCTGGCTAATGGTGTTCTTTCCCTTGTCAGTGAGTAGATCACGGAGATCCCAAATGCCTGTTATCACTTCTCAAGGGTCGGCGGTCATATGGTCTCCTGGCTCTGCCCAGATTCCGTGCGGGGGGTTGGTATCGGTGTTCTACCGGTCTAGGCTCTGGCTTCCTGTCGTTCCGCCTTGGTTCGTATTTGGAATGGGTGGCTCGGTTCATCTCATCTTCCTCCCACCTTATCTGGATAACGGCTCGGGCCAAAGCGTCTTCCATGGTGGTGCAGCCCAGCTTTGTAAGCTCTTTGTATAGTTCTCCATCTGGGAGGAGGCCTTTTCTGAAAGCGTCCACAGCAGTCTCGGGGTTACAGGAAGGAATAGAGATCTTCTCTTTGTTGAATCTGCTAACATACTCTCTCAATGGTTCCCCCCTTCATTGGTATACTCGGTACAAGTCGGCCGACAACTTCTCTAGCTTCTTGCTACTGGCAAACTGTTCCACAAAGGTGTCAATAAGCTGAGCGAATGAATTGATGGATCCGTTCGGGAGGTTCGTGTACCATTGGAGCGCTGGGCCGGACAAACTAGAACCGAAACTTTTGCACATGCAGGCTTCTCTAAGTGGTTGGGGTATGGAAACAGTGAACATCCGCTGCTTGTACGAGGCTATGTGGTCGTCCGGGTCAGTGGTACCGTCATATGGTTTCATGTTGGGGATAGTGAATTTCTGGGTCATGTCAGCCAGGGCGATCTCGTCCGCAAAAGGTGAATCGGCGTAACAATTCGGTCTGCTCTTCTTGGTTGGGATTGGCATTCCTGGGATACGCCTCATTACCGCCTCAACGTCGGCCAGTCTCTTGGCCAATAATTGTTCCACAGGGGAAGGGGATACTATCGGGTCATCCCGTCTTATCGAGTCTGGTATGTCTCGTGGGGTCATCCCTCGGGGGGTAGACTGATATATTAGTCCGTCGTGCGCTCCTTGGTAGCATGTGTCTTCATTCATCCCTTCTGGTTGGATGACTCCCATTGTCACTGTTCTGTTGTTCTTCCCTACATGAACGGTCAGGGGAGTTGTCTGGTAGTCGTTCGGTCTTTCGGGATGGACGGGCTCAAGAGCTGGAGTTGGTTTGGTTTGGCCGTTCACCCCGCGAGGGTGAGCCAGGCAGGAGGGGGTTTGTGTTTGGGTTGACTGGAGGGGAAGTGGTATGGTGGAGATGGGTTGATCCTTCGGGTTCTCTATTGTTGGATCGTTTTGATCACGAGGCTGTTGTATCTTTATCTCCGTTAGTCAGAACAGAGTAGTCGAGCGCCAATGCGTTAAGCGGTCGCGGCCCTTTACCAGAATCCGAGGGTTGATGCTCTGGTGTGGAGAGGGGTTGCATGGATGGGATAATGGTGCGGAAACGATTGGGGGGTGCTTGGTCGGGCATAAACTCGAGTTCATAGAATCGACTTACTTTCTCTTTTAGCGACTGGTTCTCGAGCCTGATGGATGTGTTTTCGGCTTCCAGTGCGGCCACCTTGTCTAAGTTTTGTTGCATGAGAGCAATCAAAGCCTCCAGTCTGGTCTCGAGGCCTGAGTTAACGTCGTCTGGATTGTCAGCCATGGAATATTCCTCCACGTAGCAAGGTTCATCACGCCGAATGATTGCTAGAGGCCCCACGGTGGGTGCCAAACTGTAGAAGTAAAAATCTACCTGTACGGAAAGAGGGGTCTGATCCCGTGAGGTTGAGGCCACTAGCGATCTGTTGTACCTGCACACGTAGAGAAACACACGCGTGAAGCGAACGGGAAACACCAGGATGGTGTTTGCCGTAGGCACTCCGATGCTCAAGTCAGCAAGGCTGAGAGGCTAATATAGTGAGGCTAGGGAATGAGAGATTACCGGAAATCTAGTCGGGGACTGTGACTACGGCGAATAAGCAAGACTCTCAAGTAAAGAGCCTTGGGTGTGAAGGTGTAATGTCGATGTGCCTTGTGAGAGGACTGGCCTCTGCTTATATAGTGGTCGTCTGGTCTTCCAATCATGGTGGGAGCAGGAGTCCTAGTGTGACTGTGAAGCCAACCCTAGAAGAATCAGGGCCGTAATCAGCTGTCCTTATCAGTGTCTAAATAGGAAGTTAATTCCATTTAGGAGAATGACCCTTAAGTGGGAAAGTCGCCAGGAAAGAGGAAGATGACCTTGAATAGGGGATTGATCAAGAATGGGAAAATGTTGAAGGGGCTATGGGCTCTGGGCTCACTCATAGGCCTAGATATTAGACAGGGCTTAAGAGGCTCGCGCCCATGTAGTTCGGGCCGGTTATACTTCGTATCAGATAGGGCTAATCCGAATTGGGCCTCTGCAAGATTGGGCCTGGTCATTCTTCACAAGTGATCTTATTTCCCTATTTGGGCCGAAGACGATTTTTGACCCTAACATCAATTTAACAGTTCATGACGTCATGATATGTAATAGAGTGGTCTATGTACCAGTCCATTAATACAATTTACCTGCCATGATATGCCGCCCAATTAAGTGCAGTGTATCCATAACATCACGAAAATTGATATTTACAATTAATACAATTTATGTACAAAAAAAAAAAAAAAAAACGTTAACAAGTAATTTTAAGATATTATTATATATTAAAAAATGGGAAGATTAAACAAGAAGACAATTTAGCGATTGAAGAAAACCGCGCTAATGGAGGGAACCATAGAGTTTCTAAGGTGTTTATTGGGTTGAAAAACATTGGGCCAAGCCTTAAATTTTTTTATGAGGTCAAAAAACTGTAATAAAGTAGAGTTAAAATACGTTTAAAATGATTTTTATAGAAAAATTTACATGTATACCGTTTAATAAAATATTATCTTGAAAAGTGTATTCTGAACCCTAAGGGGTTAACCTAACGGTCAAGGATATTTGTTTTCTTTCTTGAATTTTTTTGTTCAAACCTTGATACTATATGCCATAATAACATTGTGACTTATCTAGATTAGTTCCGAAGATTAATTAAAATACGTGCAAGCTAAATAGTGTTTGTATTGCTTTTCCTCCAATAATTTCTCACGCATCACCGAAATGAAACAAAAAACTTTCTTGGTAGAAAAATGTCCCCCACATAATTCAACAATTGGGTTTCCTATCTAATTTGGAATGAATGGGGCTCTTAGCCAACAATCATATATAAAAATGTATGCACGTCAAGGCCCTTGGATTGTAAATTACAAAGAAATTAAAGACTATAATACTCTCTTAATTTGAGATTTTACTTTTGTTAATGTTGTTTCTTCTGGATTCGTTTCTCTAATACTACCGATATTTATATAAGAATAATACCACATATACAAACTAATTATTCAAATTCTTATATACTAAGCGACATAACATAATCTTTTGACTGAAATATCATTCATTTATTAACATTATTATATACACTCATCAAACACTTAGAGATCATAGAAATCTTTGCAAATTTTCTGACAGCTGAAAATAAAATTCAGTTTAGATTTAAACCCTTCATCCATAATCGAATTTCTTCAACAGCCATGGATGAACTCTACATTCAAATGAACAAACTGCTATATGAAGAAATCAAATAATAGACATGTCTTGAGCGTAGGCAAGAATTCTCTTGAGCTCCCTGTTATAGAGGCATAGTCGCTCCAGATTAACAACGTGACCTGCCTTCTCTATTGCCTTCAAAGGTTGCATTCTGTCCGACTTGTCGATGAATTAATTAATTAAATAAATTATATATCGTCATAAATTATTTGGTCGATGTTGATTCTTTTTCAGTAGAATAATTGTAGCGAAAAAACACAGGTAAATAAAGAAATAAATGTACATCAATTAAGATGAAGTGATACTCTTTCAAGTTCCAGGCAGTTTCCATATCGAAAATCAAATCATTTTCACCCCACAAGATATACACCTTCTGCAAAAATTAATAATTTTACATATTACATGAATGTTCATAATTAAACAATTAAGAGAACTTTATTAATTGATGAGTAATTAAGGACATACTAACCAAGACAATTGTCTAATTAGTATTTATGGCTAATGCATACTGAAGTAGTGCTACAATCGAGCCAAGTCGAACCAAACTAAGTATTGAAAAGCTCGTGCTCGTCTCAACTGGAATAGTCGAGTGTGCCGTCTACAAAAACTACACCATTATAACAAAATAATTACGTACCTGTTGGTAACGAGGGATAGTAAATTGCTCATCACCTATCACCAAAGCTTTTAGAAGTTCAGTTCCCATCATAGACCCACTTCATCGTCAGCATACCCACTTCAAATAAGTACATGTTATTAATATATTTTTTTAAGCAAAAAGCTAAAGAATTTAGGGATTCGCGGTAAAGCCGACTTCTACCTTAAAGCAAAATATGCGTCTACAGTAAACAATACTTTCGAAGTCAGAATTTAGCAGTCATGACATCACGAAAATTGATATTTATTTGGAGGCCAAACAATTTACGTATACTCAAGATTTATCAAAACCATAAGTTAATATCTAAAAAGGTTTGAAACGATAAATAGGTACCTTCTGTCATGTTCGGTTAGTAATTTTTATTTGATAATAGTGAAAAGACTAAAATGCCCTTAAAAGTTTGATATTTTAGTTTTTATAAATTTAAAAATTTCTAAAAAACCTCATAAGTTTGCTAATTTAACTAAACATCCCCATATATAAAAAGTTTGTTAAATGACAAAAATACCCCCACCACCGGCAGTGCCAGATTCCGGCCACCATCTCCAGAATCCGGCCTGAAAATTGCGTTACGACACAGACTCGTCGGATCTGTGTCGTAACATGTCGATCTGGCCTTTTCCAGCCAGATCCACCACGGATCTGGCCTGAAAAGGCCAGATCTACGGCTAGATCTAGCTGTCGAGGCTGCAAAACTCCATTGCAGTGTCGACGGCCAGATCTGGCCTTTTCCGGCTAGATCAGCCATGGATCTGGCCAGAAAATGCCAGATTGACGCGTTACGACACAGATCCGATGAGTCTGTGTGGCCGAAATCTGGCACTACAGGTGGCGGGGTAATTTTGTTATTTTACAAAATTTTTATATATTGGGGTACTTAGTTCAATTAGTAAACCTAGGGAGTTTTTTAGAAATTTTTAAATTTATAAAAAACTAAAATATCAAACTTTCAAGGGCATTCTAGTCTTTTCACTATTATCAAACGAAAATCACTAACAGAACATGATGGAAGATACCTATTTGTTGTTTCCAAACCTTTTAGGTACCAACTTATTGTTTCGATAAACCTTGGGTTTCTCCTATCTTTCGAATGAATGGGCCTCTGAGTGAATGGACTTTTTTGTTTAAGGCAACTTCTAGCTCATTTCCGAGATCCCAAATGCCTGTTATCACTTCTCAAGGGTCGGCGGTCATATGGTCTCCTGCTCTGCCCAGATTCCGTGCGGGGGGTTGGTATCGGTGTTCTACCGGTCTAGGCTCTGGCTTCCTGTCGTTCCGCCTTGGTTCTTATCTGGAATGGGCGGCTCGGTTCATCTCATCTTCCTCCCACCTATCTGGATAACGGCTCGGCCAAAGCGTCTTCCATGGGGTGCAGCCAGCTTTGTAAGCTCTTTGTATAGTTCTCCATCTGGGAGGAGGCCTTTTCTGAACGTCCACAGCAGTCTCGGGTTACAGGAAGGAATAGGATCTTCTCTTTGTTGAATCTGCTAACATACTCCTCAATGGTTCCCCCCTTCATTGTATACTCGGTACAAGTCGGCCGACAACTCTCTAGCTCTTGCTACTGGCAAACTGTTCCACAAGGTGTCAATAAGCTGAGCGAATGATTTTGGATCCGTTCGGGAGGTTCGTGTACCATTGGAGCGCTGGGCCGGACAAACTAGAACCGAAACTTTTGCACATGCAGGCTTCTCTAAGTGGTTGGGGTATGGAAACAGTGAACATCCGCTGCTTGTACGAGGCTATGTGTCGTCCGGGTCAGTGGTACCGTCTATGGTTTCATGTTGGGGATAGTGAATTTCTGGGACATGTCAGCCAGGGCGATCTCGTCCGCAAAAGGTGAATCGGCGTACAATTCGGTCTGCTCTTCTTGGTTGGGATTGCATTCCTGGGATACCCTCATTACCGCCTCAACGTCGGCCAGTCTCTTGGCCAATAATTGTTCCACAGGGGAAGGGGATACTATCGGGTCATCCCGTCTTATCGGTCTGGTATGTCTCGTGGGGTCATCCCTCGGGGGTAAACTGATATATTAGTCCGTCGTGCGCTCCTTGGTAGCATGTGTCTTCATTCATCCTTCTGGTTGGTGACTCCCATTGTCACTGTTCTGTTGTTCTTCCCTACATGAACGGTCAGGGAGTTGTTCGTGTCGTCTCGTCTTTCGGGATGGACGGGCTCAAGAGCTGGAGTTGGTTTGGTTTGGCCGTTCACCCCGCGAGGGTGAGCCAGGCAGGGGGGGTTTGTGTTTGGGTTGACTGGAGGGGAAGTGTATGGTGGAGATGGGTTGATCCTTCGGGTTCTCTATTGTTGGATCGTTTTGATCACGAGGCTGTTGTATCTTTATCTCCGTTAGTCAGAACAGAGTAGTCGAGCGCCAATGCGTTAACGGTCGCGGCCCTTTACAGAATCCAGGGTTGTTGCTCTGGTGTGGAGAGGGGTTGCATGATGGATAATGGTGCGGAAACGAGTGGGGGTGCTTGGTCGGGCATAAACTCGAGTTCTAGAATCGACTTACTTTCTCTTTTAGCGACTGGTTCTCGAGCCTGATGGATGTGTTTTCGGCTTCCAGCGGCCACCTGGTCTAAGTTTTGTTGCATGAGAGCAATAAAAGCCTCCAGTCTGGTCTCGAGGCCTGAGTTAACGTCGTCTGGATTGTCAGCCATGGAATATTCCTCCACGGACAAGTTCATCACGCCGAATGTTGCTGACCCCACGGTGGGTGCCAAACTGTAGAAGTAAAAATCTACCTGTACGGAAGAGGGGTCTGATCCCGTGAGGTTGAGGCCACTAGCGACTGTTGTACCTGCACCGTAGAGAAACACACGCGTGAACGAACGGGAAACACCAGGATGGTGTTTGCCGTAGGCACTCCAATGCTCAAGTCACAAGGCTGAGAGGCTAATATAGTGAGGCTAGGGAATGAGAGATTACCGAAATCTAGTCGGGCCGTGACTACGGCGAATAAGCAAGACTCTCAAGTAAAGAGCCTTGGTGTGAAGGTTAATTCGATGTGCCTTGTGAGAGGACTGGCCTCTGCTATATGTGTCGTCTGTCTTCCAATCATGGTGGAGCAGGAGTCCTAGTGTGACTGTGAAGCCAACCCTAAAGAATCAGGCCGTAATCAGCTGTCCTTATCAGTGTCTAAATAGGAGTTAATTCCATTTGGGAGATGACCCTTAAGTGGGAAAGTCGCCAGAAAGAGGAGATGACCTTGAATAGGGGATTGATCAAGAATGGGAAAATGTTAAGGGCTATGGGCTCTGGCCACTCATAGGCCTAGATTTAGACAGGGCTTAGAGGCTCGCCCCATGTATTTCGGGCCGGTTATACTTCGTATCAGATAGGGCTAATCCGAATTGGGCCTCTCAGATTGGGCCTGTCATCCTTCACAAGTGTCTTATTTCCCTATTTGGGCCGAAGACGATTTTTGACCCTACACATCAATTTAACAGTTCATGACGTCATGATAGTATAGAGTGTCTATGTACCTTCCTTTATACAATTTACCTGCCTATATGCCGCCCAATTAAGTGCAGTGTATCCATAACATCACGATTGATATTTACAATTAATACAATTTATGTACAAGAAAAAAAAAAAAAAACGTTAACAGTAATTTTAAGATATTATTTATTTAAAAAATGGGAAGATTAAACAGAAGACAATTTAGCGATTGAAGAAACCCGCGCTAATGGAGGGAACCATAGAGTTTCTAAGGTGTTTATTGGGTTGAAACATTGGGCCAAGCCTTAAATTTTTTATGAGGTCAAAACTGTAATAAGTAGAGTTAAAATACGTTTAATTGATTTTTATAGAAAATTTACATGTATAACCGTTTAATAAAATATTACTTGAAAGTGATTCTCATTGCTTTGACCGCTTCGAGGAAGAGGATATTTGCTGACGAACCCCCATCTACGAACACTCTTTTCACTAGGATGTTGGCTATTTGCAAGGAGAGGACTAAAGCGTCATGGTGAGGAGCGGCTAGGGTGATTGGTTCGTCATCCTCGAACTGAATTACCTGATGGGAGTATGACTTCGAGACCGGTTGGATGGACTGGACTTCATGATGGCTAGTTCTAGCATGTCGTTTTGCTGATGAGTAAATTATCCCACTGATTGCTGATCCTCCGGAGATTAGTGAGCAGAAACCCTTCGGTGTGGGTTCACGCGGAGGGGGCGACTGTTGTTTGGAGCTTTTCTGGCTAATGGTGTTCTTCCCCTTGTCAGTGAGTAGATCACGGAGGTGTCCTCTCTTTAGAAGTGCGGCAACCTCGAGCCGCAAGGCGATGCAGTCCGCGGTGTTATGCCCATGATCGTTGTGGAACTCGCACCACTTGGTTGTGTCTCTCCTTGCCTTGGGATTGAGCTTACCAGGCCACTTGACAGCGGATCCCATTCCTTTCATTATCTCTACGACCTGGGTTGGTTCGATGCTGAGACTGTATTCTGGTATTTTGAACTGGTTCGATCCCGAATGCCTGTTATTACTTCTCAAGGGTTGGCGGTCATATGGTCTCCTTGCTCTGCCCATATTCCGTGCGGGGGGTTGGTAGCGGTGCTCTGCCGGTCTAGGCTCTGGTTTCCTGTCGTTCCGCCTTGGTTCGTATCTGGAATGGGCGGCTCGGTTCATCTCATCTTCCTCCCACCTTATCTGGATAACGGCTCGGGCCAGAGCGTCTTCCATGGTGGTACAACCCAGCTTTGTAAGCTCCTTGTATAGTTCTCCATCTGGGAGGAGGCCTTTCCTGAAAGCGTCCACAGCGGTCTCGGGGTTACAGGAATGAATAGAGATCTTCTCTTTGTTGAATCCGCTAACGTACTCTCTCAATGGTTCCCCTCTCCGTTGGTATACTCGGTACAAGTCGGCCGACAACTTCTCTAGCTTCTTGCTGCTGGCGAACTGTTCCACAAAGGTGTCAGTAAGCTGAGCGAATGAATCGATGGATCCGTTCGGGAGATTCGTGTACCATTGGAGCGCCGGACCAGACAAACTAGAACCGAAACTTTTGCACATNGGGCGCCAAACTGTAGATGTAAAAATCTACCTGTACGGAAAAGGGGGTCTGATCCCGCGAGGTTGAGGCCACTAGCGATCTGCTGTACCTGCACACGTAGAGAAACACACGCGTGAAGCGAACGGGAAACACCACGGTGGGCGCCAAACTGTAGATGTAAAAATCTACCTGTACGGAAAGGGGGGTCTGATCCCGCGAGGTTGAGGCCACTAGCGATCTGCTGTACCTGCACACGTAGAGAAACACACGCGTGAAGCGAACGGGAAACACCACGGTGGGCGCCAAACTGTAGATGTAAAAATCTACCTGTACGGAAAGGGGGGTCTGATCCCGCGAGGTTGAGGCCACTAGCGATCTGCTGTACCTGCACACGTAGAGAAACACACGCGTGAAGCGAACGGGAAACACCAGGGTAGTGTTTGCCGTAGGCACTCCGACACTCAAGTCAGCAAGGCTGAGAGGCTAATATAGTGAGGGCTAGGGAATGAGAGATTACCGGAAGTCCAGTTGGGGACTGGGACTACGGCGAATAAGCGAGACTCAAGTGAATAGCCTCGGGTGAAGGTGTAGTCGATCCCCTTTGTCAGAGGGCTGGCCTCTACTTATATAGTGGTCGTCTGGTCTCCCAATCCTGGTGGGAGCAGGAGTCCTAGTGTGACTGTGATGCCAACCCTAGAAGAATCAGGGCCGTAATCAACTGTCGTTATCAGTGTCTAAATAGGAAGTTAATTCCATTTAGGAGAATGACTCCCAAGTAAGAAAGTCGCCAGGAAAGAGGAAGACGACCTTGAATAGGGGATTGATCAAGAATGGGAAAATGTTGAAGGGGCTATGGGCTCTGGGCTCACCCATAGGCCTAGCCACTGGACAGAGCCTATTAGGTTCGTGCCCATGTGGTTTGGGCCGGTTATGCTTCGTGAGAGATAGGGCTAATCCTGATTGGGCCTCTGCAAGATTGGACCTGGTCATTTTTCACCAGTGATCTTGTTTTCCTATTTGGGCCGAGGACGATTTTTGGCCCTAACAAAAACAAAAAGTTATTATGCCTGTTGGGTCATGCCAAATCTCTCCTGGATATGCAGAAACCGGTGAGTTTTAGTTCAATTTTTTTACTGAATTTTAATCTATTTAATTAGTGTTTTAATTACCTACTATAATTATCTAGTTATTAGATTGCTACCTGAAAGGTTTAGTTTGGTTACCTAACATGGAAGAAAAAAATTTGTTGCCATATATAGATACAATTGTCCTAGGGTTTGAATTGTATGATCTGAGTACTTGTTCTAACTTCTAATTTAATTTAGAGTAAACGATATTCCCACCCAAGGTTTGCCTTAATGACATTTTCTCACCCAAAAAGTTTTAAAATACCACTTTCCACCCAAAGTTAATATTCAGTTACTACCTAAAGCCGATTCCGACAAAGAAAATTCTCTCTGTAACCACCATTTGAACCTCCAATCTCCTCTCGACAAAAACCCTCTTACTTTGACACCTAATATCTGATAGATTGTCGGCCACTACAAGATTAAGGTTTCCTATTCTTAGTTAATTTTCGGCCGCAAATATTCAATCGATCACCACCATTCTATCCATCGGCCTCCACTCCACAAATTTTTTTTTACCTCAACTCCTGGTAACTTGCCGAACGCTGACTAAGAAAGTGAAGTGTATTTTGAAAATTAATGGAATATAAACGTTAGGTGAGAAAGTGGTATTTTGAAACTTTTTAGGTGGGAAAGTGTCGTTAAGGCAAACCTTGGGTGGGAAAAAGTCATTGACTCTTTCATTTAAATTAATAAGTAGTAACTTACCAGTAAATATGGTCTTTTAAGTTTTAATTAAAACCTTGTTTAATAACAATTAAGTTTTTCTTAATTTTTGCATTAATTAGTTCCGAATTTTAGTAAGTTTTGTTTTCCATTTAGCTTTAATAAATGTTATGCAATTTCTCCAATCTATGCTTTCAATTTTGATTCTTAAAATGGATTATATATTTGTATAATAAGTTTGGTGAATTAATGCAAAATATCTGTATATATCATTCATGAATCAGCATCTTATCTCCAAATTTGTCAAGCAATTTATTAATAAATTAATATATAACTTAAGTTGGTTGCCATCATATATAATTAAGTCAGAATTGATTCGGTACGTAACCTCCATATTAGAGACAAGAATATTCATTATTTGTCTGATTAAAGACAAGAATACTCCGAAATTATCTAATAGTCTGTTTGATTCTGCTTTAACTACTGGTCAATAAAAATTATTTAAAGCCATGAACGCTCTAATTAATCTCGTCATCTTTACGTTGGAAGGTGATGCTTTTCCATACGTTTTCAGTTTGATTTTACTGTTGTTTCTTCGAGTTGCAGGAAAAGAGGAATGGAGATATTTCTTGCAAACAAAATTGAATTACACCGCACATTATGAAAGAGAAGCCTATGTAACAGTTCTTCATTCCTCAGAAGGTTACGTTTGTGGGGCAATCGCTTTGGCGCAAAGCATAATCCAAAGCAACACTAAAAGAGACCTTGTTCTTCTTCATGATAAATCTTTAAGTGACAAATCTATACGTGGACTTCGAGCTGCCGGATGGAAGACGAAGCTAATTTCGCGTATTCGCAGCCCGTTTTCCGTAAAAGACTCATACAATGAATGGAATTACAGCAAGCTTCGCGTATGGCAACTCATTGAATATGAGAAAGTAATTTTTATCGACGCCGAATCTTCTTGTCTTAGCGTAACATCGATAAGTTCATTCTTTACCAGTCATTATCAGCCACTGAGGAAACGTAGGGTCGGTGTTCAATCACGGTACTAATGCGTGAGCGATGCCATCTTTGGCATGTTCGAAAGTTTAATGGTGAAGAGCTTCAAAGTGTTCCAATCATAAATGAGGGACGGTATCAGGTTTTCTCAATGAAACTTTTTCTACATGGTGGCATACAGATTGCCTTCGAAGATAATCATCTCAAGGTGTTATCTCTACTTCTAGATAATAAGGATGGAACAACATAACACATCGAATCCACGGAAAAATCATTTATGTCGATTCAGTTATGTGGGATGGAAGCCATGTTATGTTACAAGATATATTGTAACTGGGATAATGGGGATCAACCATATATTGCGAGTGAGTTCAGCTCACAAGAATGGTTGGGAAGAGTTTTGAGGCCATGAACGACAGAAGTTTGCAGAAATTCTGTGGGTTACAAGCACAGGAATTCGAGGATTAAAAGTGGAGAGAGGATGCTATGAGAATTCAAGTTTTGTGCATGGACATTGGAAATTAGAGTAAGAGATCACTGGAAATACCTATCTTGTTCTCAATAAGTGAAGCAACTACATAATTAAATTTCTATGGTGCTACGATGCTAATTTGAGTTAAAATTGAAGATTTAATTCGAGTAGAATCATTAACAAATAGTTCGTCCCATAATTGCTTTTTTTTTTTTAAATATTTTTATTTATTAATAGCTATATTATATATATTGATATGTCATATGCTTATAAAACTATATCGACCACGAACCAAAACCTCTTGGATTAGGATCTATTAAACTAGAGATTGTAGTTTAAACTATGGGAGAACGACTTATACATACCTAATTTGCCGAAACGATAGTTGGTACCCACAAAGTTTGAAACGACAAATGGGTACCTTCCGTTCTTTCTGTTAGTGATTTTCGTTTGATAATAGGTGAAAAGACTAAATGCCCTTGAAAGTTTTATTTTTAGTTTTTTATAAATTTAAAAATTTCTAAAAAACCCCCTAAGTTTGCTAATTTGACTAATGACCCAATATATAAAACTTTTTAAAATCCAAAAACACCCCGCCACCCACAGTGCCAGATTCCGGCCACCACCGCCTAAAATCCCCGGTAGTGCGCCCGGAATATTGTGTTACGACACAGAACGTCGGATCTGTGTCGTACAAACCTACGATCTGTCCTTTCCGGCCCGATCCAGCCACATCTGCCGAAAAGTCCCAATCAAGTCTGGCCTTTTCTGGGGCCTCGACGGCCAGATCTGTGCCTTTTTGGTTTCCGTCGCCAGATCTCCTTCCACGGATCTGGCCGGAAAATGCCAGATCGAGTGTTAGCTACCAGATCCGAATGGGTCTGTGTCGTAACACAATTTCGGCAGTTCCCGGTTCATGACGGCCGTTAGATCTGGCCTTTTTCGGCACGATCAGCACGGATATTGCCGGAAAATGAAGATCTTACGCAGTTTCGACACAGATCCGATGGGTTGCTGTGTCGTAACGCAATTTTTCCGGCCAGGTGTCCGGCGGCGGTGGCCGGAATTGGCACTGGGGTGGCGGGGGTGTTTTTGTTATTTTATAACTTTCTTATATAGTGGGGTATGTAGTCAAATTAGCAAACCTGGGGTTTTTTAGATATTTTTAAATTTATAAAAACTAAAATATCTTAAGGAAACAATAATTTAGCAAATTTTAGTCTTTTCACTATTATCAAATGAAAATCACTACAGAAATGACGGAAGGTATCTGTTTGTCTTTTCATCAACCTTTTAGGTACCAACTTGTTCGTTTCGACAAACCTTGGTATCATAAGTCGTTCGCCTCTAAACTATTAGGATAAACCTTGATTCTAATAGATACTTAAACCAGTAAAGATAGTATGGTAATTCAATTATATACGTAAGGACAAAACGAGAATTTACTCCAAATTCAATCTTCTTGTGTAGAAACTATTTGTTAATCAAAAATTAAAATAGATTAATAGTTATTAGTTTGAGGGGGGGGGGGGGGGGGGGGTGGCATGGGGGTATTTGTTACAATGTTGAAAATGATCAGGACTCCGATTTCGTTGTATTCTATGAATGCAGTGACTCAGGGCGAATTAATTTTCTCTCTCATCAAATTAATCCAGGAAGTGATAATTACAAGAATTGGTGCTTAATGATAAGGTATCTTGTTTTGGCAAGTGGCCACTTGTCATCACTTCATAGGTTTGGGTCCAACTCTCATTAGACAAATTTCTCGGGCTTGGGCTTGGGCTGTTAATGATCCAGTTATGATTATTTGACCCATTAGATGTGGATACTTGCCAGCCTTTCATGGCCCGTGGGCCTATTTTCCGTTTGTGAGGAATCTCGAGTCTAGGTTGTCTCAACTCTCAAGTCCAATTTCTTGCCATCTGAGCAAAACCCAAAATGACTTGATGATTTTATTAAAGGTTGATGTTAAATTGGGTCTTTATTTAATCCTTCAATTAGCATTTGTTAAATAGGTGTTTGGTACACAGTCTTTGAAAATTATTTAGTAAGCTCCGGTTAATTAATTTACACTTAGTCTTTTCTTGGTCGGTCAACTTGTGTTTTTTTAAATAGGAAATATGCGAATAAGCCAAAGAAGCAGGTGACAACTTGTGTGTATACTTTATAGGTCTGCTGGTTCACAAAGATCTCAATACCCATTCTTTCTTCTTTTTTTAATTTGCTTTTTCTTTTTTTTTTTTTTTTTCTTAAAATGAAAGAGGTTTCAAGTACAATCTAAATAAAAGCAGCCTGCAGGCTGATGCAGTAGGTATGATGTAATAAATGTTGAAATTAAATATTATCATCGGTGGTTTTCTATGTGAAAGAGATAAGGTTGATGGCCCCGCGTATCCATAAAATGTGGAAATAAGTTAATGTGATCCATTTCATGCTTATAGACCACACATATCAGTTATCAATATCATCTGCCTGCAGGTTGCTTTTATTTAGGGACATTTGTAAACTTATCAATAGCTATTGACTTCCAGATCTTTCTTTACATTTTCAGATAACTAAGAAAATTATCTTGAGGAGAAGGGCAAGAACCTTAACAAAAAATACTTTTTTAGGTTTGCTAATTTATTAACCACTCCAATATATAAAAATTTTATAAAATATCCTCATCTACAGTTGTCAGATTTCGACTACCACTGTCAAAATCTAGTGTTAGAGTGCACAACCGACATGATTTAATCATTTGTGTATCGATATGGCCTTTTTTATCATGGATCTAGTTGAAAAAAGTTAGATCTACGACTAGATATAACCGTCTTTGACGATCAGCTACGGCAAAAAATCTGACAGTTAACGACCAGATCTTTGACTGTATATCTGATCAAAAAATGATAGATTGATATACTATTAGTTAGATCTAATTGGTAATATACTATTATACTAGATTCTGATCACCTTCTGACAGTGGTAGCCAGAATTTAATAAATGTGGGTGAATGAGGTTTTTTTGTTAATTTTTAAATTTTTTTTTTTAAAGATGTTTAGTTAAACTAATAAAATTAAGAGATTTAAAAATAATTAAAGAAAATATAATCATTTAAGGATAATAAAATAAACAGATATTTTAAAAATAGAGTTGGAAATAGGATATAAAATATCGAAACAAACGGACTATATCTAAATCAGAGACTCTAATCATATATTCGTATTCTTTCTTTTTATCTTTTTGGTAAGACAAAAATAAATCCTAGGCTCCGTTTGGTTCACAATTTTGTGTTTTGGGGAAAAGTTTTTTGAAAAAAGTTAAAAAAAAAAGTTGAATTGGGCGGGTATTACGATGTAGAATTAACAAATTATAAAATATCCCCTATGTTTGTTTTTTACAAAACACCCTTTATAATAAAATATTAAAAGTTAACAAAAACACCCCCAATCTACCCTCAAATACGGACAGCCGACCACCACCGCCGGAGGATGGCCGGAGTCGTCGTAACAAAAACATTAAAAATATTTAGGGGTATTTAATTGAATTAATAAATTTAGGGGGTTTAAAAAATATTAAATAAAATTGAATAATATTACGAGTTTTTAGGTATTTCACTGTTTAACTTTTTTGAAAATACTAAAAATAATATTCCCAAAATCTAACCAAACGTAAGCCCTAATTATTCATGTTTGGTTTAAAAATGCGATAAAAATTAATGAAATGACTTCAATGGAATCATCTCAGCATAGAAATTAGAATTAATGGTCCAATCACTCATTAAAAACTGAAAAGCAACCCACGTGAAGTCTGAGTCTGAAACCTGAAGTAGCCAAGTACAATAATTAAGCGAAAGCAGAAAGCCTTGCAAAAGAAGCCACACATATATCACAAGCTTAACAGTAAAAAAGATTCTCTATATTGCTTATAAATTTTCATAGGAAAATAAAATCAGTTTAAAGAGAAATTAATTTAATTTCTCTTGAAATCTTTTCTTCTTAAATTAAAACTTTTAAACAGAAAAAAGAAAAGAAATAAAGTCAGCTTCCATTGTTCATTCTCTAACCAAGTTTAAACACGCGGATGCAAAGTGTATTAAGGGTGGGCCATGGCCCACTCTCAATTTTTAAAAAACAAAAATTAAATATATTATTCCATTTAATTTGACTTTGACCCACCCTTAATTTTTATTATCAAATATTAAAAAATTATGGCCTACTTTCAATTTTAGAACTAAAAATTTTTGTTTGACCCACCCTAATAAAGATTTTTGGATCCGCCCTGCAATAGGGGCAGATCCAAAGTGTATTAAGGGTGGGCCATAGCCTACTCTCAATTTTTTAAAAACAAAAATTAAATATATTATTTCATTTAGTTTGACTTTAGCTCACCCTTAATTTTTATTATCAAATATTAAAAAATTATGGCCCACTCTCAATTTTAGAACTAAAAATTTTTGTTTGGCCCACCCTAATAAAGATTTCTGGATCCGCCCTGCATGGAACATAATCTTAATTTGAATCCAAAATTTTGTTCTTTTTTATTGTGCATTTGACATTTTTCCTTTTGAGTTTTAATATTTATGGATTCAGATTATAAAATTAGAGCATATGCAATGTTTATATGAATTCTATCGCATAAACTTGGGTTTGGTTAATCTTTCAGAGCTTGATTTCTTTTAAAATTTTATAAATTATCAGAAATACAATTCAACTTATTAAAATAAGATGAATGATTATGTAATATAATTTCTTAAATTTAGAATTTATTTTACCATATTAGATCCAAAGTGGGGCAATAAATCAAAATTTGCTTTAATCATATTGTTATATTAATTTTTTTTTAACTATGTCTAATAGTCTATAAATTACATTGACTTGTTTAATCATATTGTTATGTTCATGATGTTGAGTTGTTGCACTATTACATATATTACCTAATGGAGTTTCTCTTCTAAGTAAATTGTCTAAACGTTCGAGAACATTTTAGGAGAATTATACGAAATCAATATTTTAAAAAAAGTTTAAAATAATTCTTATAACAGTATAGCACCATTCATGGAGAAATTAAATACTATCACTTGGTGCTTTTCTATGTGAAAGAGATTAAGGTGACGGCTCCACTTATCCATAAAGTTTGGAAATAAGTACATGTGATTCATACTTATCCCCACACTTTGGCTAATGGCTCCACTTAATTTGTCTTGAGGAGGTGTTTCGCTTGCTGTTTTCTGCAATAGAGATATGCGGCAAGGCAACTTTTTTTTAACAAACATTAGATCATCTCCATTCTCCAACCCATTACACAAATTTGGTACAAAATTGTATAAAATTGATACAAATTTTGATGCAAAACACAATTCTATCTCCAACCCACAACACCAAATATTACATCAAAAAGAATATTCTGTAGAATATTTTTTTCTTTTATTATAATAATCAACAATTAATCTATTTCACTCATTATTTTTGTATATATTAATTAAATATTAGGAATAATATTTTTATTAAATAATAATTATTTTGAAAATTATACTAATTTAATAAAATTAAACATTTATTTAATCAAATAAATATTACATTTAATATAGAAAAACATTACATCTAATATAAAATGATAAAAAAAAAAAAAAAACAACAACAACACAAAGGTAAAATTCCATATTGATAGTAATTTAATTTTCCGAATTAGTATGTTCTTCCCACATATGATCAATTAATGCATTTCAAAGAGCATGGTGAACCTCTGTATCTTTGATTTGTTTATATCGAGTTAGAAAATTTCAAAATCGGACATTCTCAAATTTGGTGTTAATTTTTATTTTAAGTTATTGTAGTTTAATATTTACATTGAATAAAGTTTTATTTTTATTTTTTCATCATTTTTTGAATTATATCATTATTATGAATTTATTATTATAAATAATAATCAAATTAAATTAAATACAAATAATCAAATTTGGAGTGATTTTTGGTATAAAATTTAATACTCAAATTAACTTAACAAAACTAAAAAATACAAAATTAAAAAAAAATTATTGTGTGCTACAGTATCACGTCATTTTGGTGTGGTGCAATACTGTAACGCCACACCAAAATGGCATGGCGCTTTGGCATAGGTTGGAGCACCAACCCACGCCATTTTGGTGTATTTTTACACCATTTTGGCGTAGGTCAGAGATGCCTTTAGACGGTGTCAGTGAACACGATCAATTATCAATATGATTATGTAATATTATAGATTGTTTGTGACGTAAGAAATATATAAGCCATGTGTTTCAACTTCCAAATGAAGGGGAGTGTAATAAAAATCTTTAAAAAAATTATTGATGGCATGTTGTTTTTCTTGTTTTGACCAATGGCTCCACTTATTGATTTGAGGAGGTGCACAGTGTACGTGTTTGGATTTTTCTTGCTAATTAGCCCCACTCTCACCAACATCACCATGTAAATGCTTCTACTTTAAAGACAAACAACGAAATTATTGAAAAGAAAAGAAGTTGCCTGGGTTGAGTAAGTGGTACAAATGATTACTAAGAAAAGAGGGTGACTACTGTTAAACATAATGAAACAAAACAAAAGATAACATAGGCGTTAGTTGGAATTCTCCCGCCCATTGTTTTGTCTTCCCGGCAAAAGAAACTACTATGCAAAGTAATGACTCTTTGAACACTAGAGCAGAGATCTGACGAATGAAATTGTTTAATTTTATGTTTCTTTGGGTAGAAATAAACGGTTTGGATAATTTCATTCGTCAAAATTGACCATTTGTAGCTCGAATGAAATTGTTTAATTTTATGTTTCTTTGTATAGAAATAAACGGTTTGGATAATTTCATTCGTCAAAATTGACCATTTGTAGCTCGAATGAAATTGTTTAATTTTATGTTTCTTTGGGTAGAAATGAATGACTGAGATAAGTAATCACATGGATTACCACTCGTAGTTATAAAAAGGAATTGCTCTAATAAAATCAGTAAGTATTAAAAATTCTAAAAAAATTCTGCCTCGTATTCTTTTCTTTTCCTCTCAATATATTCAATGTTTTCTTTGTGTTCGTAGTTGCTTGTCAAATCGTGTTAATATACGACGTCTTCTTGCTTATCAGCCCACACTTTCAATATCATCTAATGAAATATGTGTTTTATTTTGAAAATGAACAGAATTGAAGATGGAGTATCTATAATATAAATTGAACTTTTTCTAGAATAATGTTTTTAATTTAAAATTTTAGAAAGAAATTTCTGGAAAGATGAGGAAATGTGTTGTATGATGGTTTGTAATAATAAAACAATAAACCTCTTTGGTCTGACAAACCCTTTAACTATTACGATTAGCTATATTTAAGTGGTCTTGAATTCTAGTCGTATGAGAGGTATCTATCAATAATTTGTAAAATTATCTTAGTTCATTAGGTTTGTAGAATGTTTTATGTTCTTAAAAATTATACAGACTTTAATGTGAACTTAAATGCCTCAATTATTTAAAAATAATAATAATAAAATAAATATGTGTCAATATGATTTTTTTTTTTTATATAATACCTTCAAAAATAAAGATTCACACACACACACACACACACACATACACACACACACACACACACACATATATATATATATACACAAATTGCAAATCTCCCATTGAAGCAAACCTTTACGTTAACAAGTTAAAAATAAAAAGAATAATTAAAAAAAACCTAAGGGTGTGTTTGGTTGGAGATAATGTTGAAATACTGAGATAATATCATCTTATATTACTTGATTATCATATTTGGTTATCAAGTAATATAAGATTCTAGTAATCTTAAAAAACTAATAGTAGTTACCAGTGGTAATATTAGAGATAATTTTATTACCTTCATTTTCTTAGGTATTGTAAGATTACATGGTAATTTTATTTTTGTTACAATTTTACCCATTATTAATAAAATTTTTGTATAATAATGCCTTTGTTTTAAAATCAATTAACATTAATCTATCATTACAATTTTGCCTTTGTCTAATTAAGTTTTTAGACAAATATGTCCTTATATTTAAAACAAATTGCAGACCACCACCGCTACCTAGCCACCACCATTGGCAGCTGGCCAATGACCATATCGGCAGCTCTCGATAATTTCTAGTGACTTTCTACGATTCCTAGTGGCAGAAGGCAGTGATCAATGGTGGTGACTGGCGACCGGTAGTGGTTTGGTGGGGGTGATTTTGTTATAAATTAAAATTTTATATAAATTATAGTATTTTAGATAAATATGAAATGTTGGGGGTTTAAAAAAAGCTATTGAAAAATTAATAATAAAAATAATATCATATTAATATTTAAAGATGACAGCAATTTAGTAATTTAAATAACATAATTATTAATTTATTTCTCATAATCAAACATATTAATGTAACATACCCACCAATTTATTCCAACTAACCAAACATATTTCCTTGAACATTTTGGTAATTTAATTTTCTATTAATATAATATTTTTAATAATCTAATATTTTCTAACCAAATCGTACTCTAAAAGTTTTTAACCTTAGGATATATGTTGAATGAGAGGGCTTTGTTTGTTTTGTTTTTTTTTTTTTTTTTTTTTTTTAACTAATATGTAAAAGGCTTCCGTTTTTTTGACTGTGGAGGTGTTTCACTGTTTCTTGACTTGAGGTCATTCTTCATGTATAAGTATCATAGCCCTCTTTTCTTATTTCAGCTTAAGTTCCCTTACAACTTTCTTTCCAAACTTTCATTTTCGGGTATTGCATCCCAACCTCAGGTACCCAAAGAGGTAACTCTTTCAACCTGGTTTTTTTTTTTTTTTTTTCCTTTTTTTCCTCCCTCTCTGGTTGGGTTTTATTTTCACATTATTTTCAGATAATTTCTCTTTCTGTCTCTTTTTTGAGTGTATATGACTTGTCGGTAGGGATGTCGAATAATGAAGTGAGGATTGACGTCGTACCTGAGATTGAGTTACATGCCAAGAACGATGAGCTTGTGACATCTCCTCCGCAAGAGCAGGCTGGTACGATTCAATAGTACCTTACAAACACATGTTATAGTATTTTATACTTATAAATAATCCATTGTTTGAGCATTATCTAATTCATTTCATTAAACTTTTAAAATAATTGCTTTGGTAATTTGATTTGTTTCTTTAGTTATTTATTATAAGCACAGAAGAAATATCACAAAATGTTAATTAATGAAAAAGTGAGGGAAGCAGCAACTGCAGGAAATGGTTCTACTCAAGCAAAAGATAACAATGGGAAGTCATCTCCTCCTCAAGAACTGGCTAGTAAGTTTTGATATCACCTTGATATTATTTTATTTTATACTTTTACAGATGCATTGTTTTGAGCAGCTTTTCATTTCNAGTGAAGAGTCTCGGGTGTGAGGGTGTAATGTCGATGTCCCTTGTGAGAGGGCTGGCCTCTGTTTATATAGTGGTCGTCTGGTCTCCCAATCTTGGTAGAAGTAGGAGTCCTAGTACGACTCTGATGCAAACCCTAGAAGAATTAGGGTTGTGGTAAGCTGTCTTACCAGTTTCTTTATAGGAAGGTGATTCTGATTAGAAGAGTAACTCCGAGTAGGAAAGTGATCAGGAATAGGAAAGTGACCTTGAATGGGAGATTGATCAGGAGTAGGAAAGTATTCTGAGGGGGTTGTAGGCTCTGGATTTGTCCACGGAACTAGGACATGGGCCAGGTTTGAGAAGCTTGTGCCCACGTGGTTTGGGCCGGCTATACCTCATGTCGAAATAGGACTAATCTAGCTTGGGCCTCTGTAGCACTGGGCCTGGTCTTTCTTCACTAGTGGTCCTGTTTCCCTATTTGGGCCAAGGACGATTTTTTGCCCTAACATTATATTAATGGAAATATAAATTACTTTAAAGATTACTAGAATGTTTAGGGAAATGTGTTTAGTTAGATTGGAATAAATTGGTGGGTATGTTATATTGATATGTTTGGTTAGGAGGAATAAATTAGTAAGAATGTTATATAGATTAATAAGTTGCTCTCATTTTTAAATATTAATATAATATTATATTATTTTTTTAATAATTTCTTTTAACCCCCTACCTTTGAGATTTTGCTAAAACACCCCAGCCATATAAAACTTTAATTTGTAACAAAATCACCCCCACCCACCCCAAGCCACTGCCCGTCGCCGGCAGTTGTCGTAATGGTGCATGACCGACTAGCTTTGACTGGTCGTGCGCTGATCTAGCCGTGACCATGGATCTGACTGTTTCCAGCCATGAATCTAGCTGTTTTCGACCAGATCTATTGATCTGGCCAAGATAGGCCAGAATAGATCTGGCTAGATCTACAGCCATCAATCTAGCCGAAAACGGCCAAATCGACGTACAGCTGGCCAGATCTAGTCGGTCATGCACCGTTTTGACCACTGCCGACAGCCGATGGTGGTTGGCCAGCGGCTGACGGTGGTGGCTGATAAGCGGCAGTGGTCCTGGGTGGCCTGCAATTTGTTTTAAATATAAGGGCAAAATTGTAATGGCAGGTTCATGTAAATTAATTTCAAAATAAGGGTATTATTGTCCAAAAATTTTAATTGTAAAGGGTAAAATTGTAACAAAATTAATATTATCACGTAATCATAAAATACCTAAGAAAAATGAGGTATTCAGATTACCACCTATATAACAAACAATAATTACTATTGGTTTTGTAAGATTACGAGAATTTTGTATTACTTGACAACCAAACGTGGTAATCTAAGTAATATAAGATGATATTACCTCAGTAATAAAAGATTATCCCAGACCAAACGCACCCTTAATATATAAGATTATCCCAAACTAAACGCATCCTTAATATATAGGATAACATCCACATGAGCCCACTCTCTTAGCTAGCGGAATATGGTATCTACAACTTCCATGAGAAATTGAGAATTGAAAACTATATGTACTTTCCATTAAGCATATCTCTTGGCAACAGATAAATGTAGAAATAATTATTTTTCCTCTTTTTCTTGTGTAGATTTCATTTTTTTTTTAATCAAGAAAACAAAGATAAAAAACTCAAACAAAATATATATATATTTTTTTTTTTAAATTGGGCCTGTTTGATAGGTTTTTCGAAAAAAATGTTCTTTTGAAAAACTATCTAAATAGGATAAGGTAGGATTACATAGAATAAGATATGATTCTGACAATGTGTTTGGTATAATATTTGAAAATTATATCAGAGTTGAATAAAATGCTGAATAATTGTTTGGTACATTTTTTGAAAGCATTTTTTGAAAATATTTAGATTGTTTTTTAACCTCCTACATTTGTTAATTTAGCTAACATCCGTCCAAAACAAAACTTTAAAAATTAACAAAAACACCCCCCCAAAAATGAAGCCGTGAATGACGATCAAAATCTGGCCATCGTCAATGGCAATCTGGACGTCAACGATGGCCAATCTTGACGGCCAAAGATCTGGCCAGAAACGGCAAGATCGGCGTACGACCAACCAGATCCGGCAAGTTGTGCATCGTTGCGGCACCGGCGTTGGCCAGCGGTGGTTGCTGGCATTCGGGAGTGGCTTGGGTGGGTGGAGGTGTTTTTGTTAATTTATAAACTTTTTATTGTGAAATGTAATTGTTTTTAGTTGAATATAGTTGGAAAAATGTTAGAATTGGATAATAAAAAACAAGTTCCACCCACTTTTCATTTTCAATAGAAAAAATCTTATTTGAATAATGATCCTAATAAGTAAACAAACACATATGTTATTTTTTAATCCACATAGGATAACAGAAAAATGATTTCAAAGAGTGAAACAAACACGAAGATTACTTTTTCATGATTATTGTTCTTCCCGATTGAATACATTGCTCATTCATCCATTAGCGATTTCATGCTTGTAATCTATCTTTCATTTTAATTATAAGCTTGGGCTTGTCATGCCTTAATTCTCGTGCTATGGTTCATCTCATTGCTTGATTGAATAAAATGCATTATTGAAAGGGGAATCTCAATAAAGTTTTAAATACGTGGTACCCGAATTTTCTTAGGGGCAAAATAATACTCCCTCCGTTTTTTTTAAGTGACGTTTTAGGTGTGGGCACAGGTTTTAATAAAAAAAAATTTCTCTCTCCCACCAACTTTTTTTCCAGATTTTGCAGGTGGGGGAGACTTTGAAAGTGGGAAACTCTCCCGCTTATTTAAATAACATTTTTAACAATTTTGTCTTATTGCATTTGTTTCTCCCACCAACTTCATCTGTTTCTTTTCTTTCATGCTGCTCCAGTTCTTTAATTTTTTCGTCCCTCACTCGTTTCTATTCTTTTTGATTTTGTTCGGTCAATCACCATGGCCGAACAATGTAATAGTAGAGGTGTACTTGGGGAAATTGATTTAAATGTTCTTCCAACATTAGAAGCTACGGATGAAGTTAATGACATAACCGAGAAAGTTAATACACATGTGAGTCGAAAAAACCTTACAAATGAACAAAGACAAGCAATTTTTGAATCTCTATTGAAGCGAAGTGTTAATGGACAATTGAAGAAAAACACTACATCTGAGGTGGCTCAATTATTTTCAATTAGTATGTGTACAGTCCAATGCATTTGGCAACGGGGAAAAGAAAATGAAGTTTTGGATTCTAACACTAATGTATCTAGCAGAAAGGCACTCAATTGTGGGCGCAAGCGTCTTGAAATTGACGTCAGTCAATTTTGAAATATTCCATTGCGAAGAAGGATGTCACTGAGGTCTTTATCTGCTGTCACAAATTTTTCAGTGACAACATTGTTTAGGCGATTAAAAGAGGGCTCCATACGTCGTCATTCAAATGCTATAAAACCTTTATTAAATGTGGAAAACATGAAAGCTAGAATACGCTTTTGTTTATCGATGATTGAACATGGCAACAACCCCAGTTGTTTGAGGTTTGTAACCATGGAAAATATTATTCATGTTGATGAGAAGTGGTTCTACATGACAAAGCAGTCAGAGAAGTATTATCTCCTGCCTGACGAAGACGAGCCTTTACGCACATGTAAGAGTAAGACTTTTATTACTAAATTCATGTTTCTGGCTGTAGTGACACGCCCAAGGTTTGATGAATCAGGGAATGAATTATTTTCTGGAAAAATCGGGATATTTCCTTTCATAAATAAAGAACCTACAAGGAGGAGTAGTAAAAATCATTCTGCTGGAACCATGGAGACTAAAACAATCAATTCTATCAATAAGGAAATTTATCGATCTTACATAGTTGAGAAACTCTTGCCGGCTATCCGGGATAAGTGGCCAAGAATTGATGCAAGAAGTCCAATAGTTATCCAATAGGACAATGCGAAACCTCATATTGGTTTGGATGATGAGTATTTTCAAAGTAATGCTACTAAGGATGGTTTCGACATACGTTTGATCTATTAACCACTGAATTCTCCAGATATGAATGTTCTAGACCTTGGTTTTTTTAATGCGATACAGGGACTACAATACCAACAGGCACCCAACTTTATAGATGTGCTCATAGAGGCTGTTCAGAAGTCATTTGATGAATACTTGCCAACAAAATTGAATCATACGTTTTTAACTTTACAGTCATGTGTGATTTCAATTTTGAAAGCTAGAGGTTAGAACAAATATAAGGTTCCGCACATGAAAAAACATAGTTTGGAGAGACAAAATTGCCTTCCTAGGCAGTTAGATGTTGACCCCGCGTTAATTGGAGAAGCAATTGCTCAATGTCAATAAGTGTTACAATTGACCTATCTAGTATTGAAGACTATTTTTGTTTTGTCCATGATGTTCATATGGGTTCTGATAAGATATTGTCTTTTAGGAGTAGTTTGTGTTTCATTTTGATTTTTGTTTTTTTTTTTTGCTGTAAAGAAATTCTACTCCAACATACAAGAAAAGAACTTGTTCTATTTTATGATATAAGCTTTTATTATGGTAATATATAACAAGGTGCCAAAGCTGTACACTACACTTTCTTGTGTCACTCTGCCTACCAAAAGATGCACATATAGAAAATCAGCTTTACCTTAAACTGAGACCGATGATATTTAGATAATGAAGTAAACAACCATATACAAATCTAATCTTTTCTGCAGGTCCTATGATGAACAACCTGCCAAGAAGAAACCTAAGAAGAGAAAATCAATGGAGTAGGGACTAGAAGGTGGGAATGATGGTGATTTAATGCCCAAATCAGAAAATACAGGGAGAGGATGATGGTTTTGGATGAATTTTAAAATTTATATCTTGAAATTGAAATCTGACATACTTTATATATTTCAAAATGTTTCAGGTCTTTTGAGTAGATTGTATAAATCTAATGTGGAATCTTCCCTTTGAATGATCGATTTTATTTTTGGCATGACCTATTGCATCATCATATGGCATTACAGTCTGAAGTTCTTAATAAAAGTTGTTCAAGTTTATAACATTGGAAAATAGTTTCTTTTCTACTAGGCGTTAGGTATTAAAAAAAAAAACATTTTATTTATCTTTATGCATTAATCTCAATCTAGAATTACTTATTTCACAATCATATTATTGTATGGTATGTTGGCATTTCTGTAAACTGTCAAATGTTCAGTTTCAGTCTTATGCACAATCCCTAGTACAATGGGACGTGATTGGCTGCTTTGAGTGCACTTAGACATTGATCTGTTGATTTGTTTTTAAATTTTGGAGTCTAAAATGCAGAGCTATTTAGGAATTATCTGAAGCAGATAAGAGAGGAAACAAGTGGGAGACTGTAGAGTGTTACATATAGACCCAATGGCACTCCAAATAAATGGTGGTTGGCATTTGCTAAGAGGAAATTCATGAACATCATTGTTCCTTGAATATATTGTTGTATATCCAATCAACTGGTATCTGCCTGACGAATTCTTCTTATGGTAAGCTGTAAAAATTCTGTTGCAGATCATTTGTAATGATAAGCTGTGAAAAATCTTTTTGTTTGTTTGTGGGTGCATTGAAACTTCTAGATCAAATATGCATTTCTATATTATTCAAATACATTGAATGAATTTGCTGAACCTTCATAATGGATAAGTAAAGAGGGATAAAAGCCAATGAATTTTCATTATATAGTCTATACATGGACAAAAAAAAGGCCGGCAATAAAAAAAGCAAGCCATCTAGGCACAAATCAAACTACACAGTCTGTACATAAAGGTTTGCAGCCAAAAAGTGTCAAAACTCCAGCCACCTTAAGGAAATCCAACAAAAGTTTCAATCCCCAACTAGCAGAAAAACCAAGACTCACCACAGCAAAACTCCTGCAAAACACACACCCTTGGGTCAGCCACATGCCCTTTTTAACACCAAAGGCCACGCAGCATAGGCTAAAACAAAACATAGGCAAAAGTCGCAAAAATTGAGCCAAAACCGAAATAAAAAGTAGAAACCGACTGAGAAAAACTGAAACACCCAACAATCACTCTCACTAAGGAGTACAAGGCTCGATTATCTCCTAGCGGCCATGCGAGCCATAACATCAGCGAACATATCCACACTAACAGGCACTTTATAGACTTCTATATATGTAAAGGAATCAAGCAAATCACCCAATACACATTTTTGTTCATCATTCCTATTAAGGCTGTCAATTAGTTCTTGAGAGTAGGACAAACATTGGACTTCTTTAACGCCATTTTCACGAGCAACACACAGTCCATGATATAAGGCAAGATATTTTGCATGTAGTGTGTTAGAAGCTGACACATACTGTTCTAGTAAAGTCAAATTTCCACAGCGTGTATCATGCATTACAATGCCCACTACTGATTTTTCTTGGTTATTCCAAACTCCAGAAATTTCAATTTTGACAATCTATCTTGATGCACCTTCTACATTGTTTTTTACAACATGTATTGTATAAGAGAAAATATTGTAACTAATTAACTGAATTGATAAAAGCAAAAAAAAGTGTATTGACATCAATCAAAGAAAAAATCAAATAAAACCTCCACTATTGATATCCACCATTCCAGATTGATTTGCAATGCTTGTACTGCCTTCAGTGTCAATTAATTTGGCCTCATTGTTGATGCTATGATTCTCTTCAAAACCTAATCATTCATAAATTAAAGAGTCAAATGAGTCATGCAACAATGTACCATTATCACTTTTAAGAATAAATTACCGTAAGAAAACACAAAAAAGCCACTTACATGATAAAGGCACCCATATCCTCATTTGTTCTAATTCTTCATTCGAAACTTTACGACTCATAATCTCCACTACGTTTACAGCCTAATTATTTACAAAACCTCAATTTGCGGAACACAATAATGCAACACACATCACAAATTTGACAATAATGCAACACATCACAAATTGATTTTGACAATGATTTTGATAAGAAAAAAAACATCACAAATTTCTAAACTCAAATCTACTATGCAACTGCCACAAATGCCCATTTTCTCCATTTCTCCATGGACACCACTCAACCAGACTAGTCCACTCTCCTCGCACTTCTACTCAACGCCATCACTAAACGCCTTGCCACACGCATAGACATCCTCTCTTTCCCGCCGTCTGTAACTCATTCAAGACTTTCCTTTCCCATCATCGGTATCGTCCACTTCCTCTCAACTCCCTCAGAAAACTTCAGCTTTTGTTAACACCCGTGTGGACTGGAAGGAAACCCCAAAAGTTCACGAGTTCAAGGCTGATCTTCTAGGGCTCAAGAAGAGAAGTGAAGGTGGAAATTGAAGACGACAGGGTGCTTCAAATAAGTGGAGAGAGGAACATAAAAGGAAGACAAGAAAGAGAGAAAGATGGAAGCAGAGACAGATTAGAGAAAGAAGAAGTGGCGATGAAAATAAGGAAAGAGGAGAAAGGGAAGAGATAAGTTAAGATAAAAGATTAAAGAGAGACAGAAGCAAAAGTAGAGAAATGACAAGATGAAATGGAAAGAGAGGGGCTGATAAAAAGTGGAGAAGGCATGATGAAAGGTGCAGAAAAGACAAGGCAGAACGACTTTAATTTTGAAAATTTTAAAAACTCTTAAACGTCACTTAAAAAAAAAAAACGAGGAGTAATTCCCTATTTGATGTTACTTGCTCACCAAGTAAAAGGAAATAGAATTACAATTAAATAGAGAACTCAAAGGCTAAGGAAATAGAATTACAATTAAGAAGGGAATGTGGAGGAAAAAGATCTTGCATTCTCCTAAAACTCCAAAATCTTTCTATCTTGCAACGACAAGAACCACCTCTCTAAAACTTTATTCTATTTCACTATATAAAAAGGGGCAAGGAATGATAATCTCAACATTCATAGGGAAAAGGTTCATACTTAGCATTCCAATGAAGCCTCTATCCCTGTTCTAACCCTGCGATCTTGCATGAAGCCTTTGCTGTTTTCTTCCAGGGACAAAGATTGGCGCTGCTGTCAACAAGCGTTTTAGAAGTCAAGAGTCAACGAATTAAGGGCAAGATCGTAAAGGCACTGTGTTCCAAAGGGCAAGATTGTAACTTCCAGTTTGGTGCAAAATATTAGCCCCTCCCTGAAGAAATTCCTCATAATCAACTCAAGCTGAAGGGTAAAGGCCTACAAACAAGGTAACAAGCATTCTCACAAGCTTAGGTTTTGAAGCTTTAGTTTATGATTGATAATTTTAATCTTAAAAATAAAATTTAAAATTCTGAACATAATTTAGAATAAAACAAAAAAAAAAAGGTAAAGTTTTAAGAAAGAAATAGCTTTCTAATATTTTGGGTCTTCTAAAAGATCAAATGACCATTTTGGTAATTGACTTTTTTTTTTAAAATATATATTTTTTTAAGAGTGATGCTATCGGCACCCCACTAATGGACTACAGAAGTCCCATTTCTTGAGACACCCCATTTCAAAGTTTAAAATTACATTTCTTTTCTTATGGAACTCCACAATTTCATAAATGCTCTTCAATTCATTTTTTTTTTTTTTTTTATTTTAAATAGTTAACATTTCATTCCCTTCACCTAGGCTATATATTCCCACTATTGTTCTTGTTCTTCATAAATAAAATTTTAGACATTTAAATTGAAAGTTCTTAAAAATTAAATCTAAAAAAAAAAATTCTACAAGTAATCCCAAGAATATATTATAGTTTAACACAACTAAAAAAAAAATGTAGATTAAATAGCTACCATACTATAAAAAAAAAAAAAAAAAAAAAAAAAAAAAAAAAAATTATATGTGAAACAATTAAAAACTTACAATTTTGTATTGCACGTAACTTGTATGCCCTATTGCGAATCTTCTTCCTCCATTAAATTATCTTTTTATTCTTTATAGCATTAAAAAAAAAAAAATTAGAGTTTATGAGATAATAGTGGGGTGTTAAAAGTATTTGTAAAAAAATAGGAAGTTAAAGTTAATTTTAATTATTTAATATGTGATTAAATTTGTCATTTTAAATATATACAATCAATATATTTAAAGTATTTTAGTATTATATATATATATAACCCAAAAAATGGCTTAACGACATTTCCCACCTCAGACTTCTAAAATATCACTTTACTACCCACCATTAGCAATTTTCGTTGTGAGGAAGGACAGGATGGTCAAAAGTCAATTATAAGTGAGGATAGGATTGTATTTTGGCTTCAACAATCACACCTAAAACATCAAGTGTCTTTAGCAGTTTCTCAATCTTTTTCTGACCGCTCTCTTCATCAGAAATCATCCCGCCATTCGACTCACCGTTGTGCCCTCATCAAAACCCCCAAGTTTCCCGACCCGATTGCTTCCCAAACACTGCCTATTGAAGCCTCCTTTCCTAGGGTTTTGTTGCAATTTCCTAGCCTTTTTTTGGCCACCCTCGACAAATGGTGAGTGAGCAGTTTTTGTAGTAGAGACATTGGTGAGTCTTTTGGCGGTAGTAGATTGAATTTTGGTGGTCAGAGCTAGCTAGAATTGGATTTGAAAGTGGTGATTAAGAGAAGAAAAAAATGCAAAACCGGTGAAAAAGAGTCGGTGTGAGTTTTGTAAAGGAGGTTGTGAGGAGTTGTAGGTAGTCTCGGAAGTGATTTTGGACACCAGAATCGGCTTAAAAAAGACAAAAACCGTCTGCTGCGATGTTGCTAACGTGCGCCGCCTCTTGCTAACATGCGCCTCTCTCTCTTCAAGCCAGATTTCGGGCGATTTCGACAGCCAAAATCGCACCTATCACCACCCACAGACTCACCGATCCTTCTCCTACAAAACCCCCTAGTTTCCAAACCTCGATTGCTTTCCTAACACCATTGATTTCCGGTGCCGAAATTTGGTTGAGGTGTGTTGTGATCATCAACAATTGAGGGTTAATCTTTAATGGGGTTATTTTTGTACTCACAATGAATTTAATGGAAATTTTTGGAAATTTTTAAAAGAATATATTTTTTAAGTGGTAAAATGGTATTTTAAAAACTGTGTCATTAAACCAATAACCTTACAAGCTTTGGTCTGATGTCAAGTTTAGTGTCGGGACTATTGACTTTATTTTGTTAGCTGATTGGTGTAGAGTTTGTATCTAGTCAATAAAGGGTATCAGTAGTTTGTTAAGCTGCTTGCTATTACGCCAAGCTTTTGGACAGTACGTATAGCAGCAGATACTTATAAACAAAGTCGATGTTTCTAGAAGTTTATAAACTTTTTTTTTTGTATCAGAGCCAGGAAGAAATTTCCTGGCAATTCTCCGTTACCAAACACGAACATTTTCTCGGAAAATCTTCAAAATTCTGTGCAACAACAAGATGAAGTTCTTAGATTAACATCGCAAGCTCTTACTGCTTCAGGTTACATCGTTCTCTTCTCTTACTGCTTCCAGTTTGGCTCCAATTACACTAAAACTTGCTCAGAAAAACTATACCTACTGGTGTCCACAAGTAATTTCTGCTGTCCGCGCATTTGATCTTGAGCAGTTTCTTACCGCGTCTAAACCCACGTGAATTTGTTTCAATAACTACTAGTAATGGTTCTGTTGTTACCAGACTGAATCCAGCATTTGCTGCTTGGTGTAGAATGGATCAATTGTTATTGAATTGGCTGATTTCTTCTATGTCTGAACCTATGATATCTGGATTACTTTGGAAAAACTAAACATCAATCAAGCCAAGTCACAAGTAATGCATCTAAGGCATCTTCTTCAAACCACTACTAAAGGATCACTATCTGTTCAAGAATATGTCCAAAAGATGAAGGATTTTGTAGACATGTTGTCTGCTTCAAGCACTGAGATCTCAGATTCAGAGCTTATTTTGCATATTTTAGGTGGTTTGGGGCCCGAATTTTATGTCGTCGTTAATTTGACCTTTTTGGCTTCTCGTTGTGAATCGTTTACCTTAGAAGAGGCTCAACTCCAAGCGTATGAGAATTGATAGGCTGGACAACAGTCTCTTTACTCTTCTGATATACGTGGCAGCTTAGCTCTTTATGCCGCCAGAAAGCTTCCTCCTTCTCCTCAGTTTACCCAATCTGCTTCTCAATTTTCTTCACGAGGAGGTCGCCGTCGTGGCAGATTTGGTGGTGGCGGTTTGTCAACTCTACAGCAAACCTGGTCATGTTGTTCTGCATTGCTATCATAGATTCGACATCTGTTTTCAGGGCCCTACGGCAGTCACTCAAGCAGATACTCATCAATCGTTAAGTTTTTCATTTTACTGAACGGTTGAAGTTTTCTGGAAGTTCATAAATTTCTTTAGGGACAACCGGACAAGTCTATTTGGGCTTTTTATTTTTTAACATATAATAGCTCAAATTTAGTTTAAATTTTAATAATTTACAAAAGCTAACAAAAAAAAAAAAAAAAAAGATTGTGAATACAATAAAAGTCTTATAAAACTTATTAATTCATATAAAAAAGATACATAAATTAAAAATTATGACACCTTTTTTTACGTAGGAAACAAAAAAAACATAAACCAAAGTTTTGAACTCTATCCAATCTTCATCTTCAACTCTTACTTGATCTTCAAAAGATCTCCTATTGACAGCAAATTACACAAAAGAACTGATATTAGTATAACAAATACACTTATAAATAAAATATGGTAAATGGTAACCAAATATAGGAATGAGAAGCAAGTCGAGCAGTTCGCGAGCCACGCGAGCTCGGCTCGTAAAAAACTCGAACTCAATTCAAAGTCAATCGAGTTGAGCTCGAATGGCTCATTTAAGGGGTCAAGCCGAGTTCAATCTAGATGAAGCTTGGCTTGATAGGCTCGCGAGCCTTATCGCGCTCGGAGGGCCAAATTACAAGTTTTGTAACTTTTTTAATTCCAAGTTTTTACAATGACAAACAACTCCCTTCTCACAATAAAATCAAAGTTCGTGCTTGAGTACCCACCCATACCCGCGAGCTCGAGCTCGAGCTTAAGTATTCAAGCTCGAACGAGCTTGGCTCGAACTCAAACTCAACAATGTTCGTCACTAACCGAGCTCGAGTATCCAGATACTTGGCTCAGCTCGTATACCCTAACCAAATATAACTAAAAAGAAAAATTAAAATTTAAGTATTTAGAATGTTTAGAAATTATGTAAGAAAGAGGAGAGAAAGAAGTAATAAAGAAAATAAATTTTTAGAATGTTAGAGAGAACCGTTGTTTTTTGCGACATAGTGAAATGTGTGTCCCTTTACTTTCTTTCGGAAAAAAATATGGGAAAAATCTCGTATATATTTCAAAATAATAAAGGTTGGCTTACAACTCAACTTTATAAACTTTCTCTCACAACCTTGACATGATAATTCACAATTGGTTAGTTTGCAATTGAGTAACAAGACTCATAGTGAGCAAGCGAGACTCATTTTTGAACTAATCAATTGCTAGCTACCATGTCAAGATTGTGAGAGAAAATTTATGAGATTAAATTGTAAGTATAGTATTATATTATACATTTCAAAATTCTTTAGCTAAGTGAAATTTCAAACTTGTGTTACTATACGCACAAATTAATTGAGTTAGGTGCAAAATTTTTCCTTATCATCCCAAAAGCTTAATTTTCTTGTAATTATTGTATATTTATTTTTATTTTAAAATAAAAATATATTTTAAATGATAAAATTTATTATGTTAAATAATTTTTTTTTTATCAGTACACTTTCCTTATATGATCAATATTATATTATTTTTGTATCTACGCTTAAAAAAGGTTCTTTTGACCCTCTCGAAAAGAATTCCTGGTTTCCCAAGCCTCAAATTGGGACCTTGGCCTTGGACATGAGGGACATCCGACAGTATACATGCTCGCTCTAATTTGAGCCATTCAAAGCTATTACTCCACAGTTGACTTGTGAAATTCTCGTTTTACCCTTGTAACATAAACTTAATTACTTTAAAAGGGATTGATTTACCACTTCAACATTGTTCGGAAAAAAAGTGACACTTGATTTTATTCTTATTCCCTTTTGATTTCAGATATTGATCTTTAGTATAAATCAAGTGTTGCGAATTTCTCTACCAATTCTAATTTATTCTTGTCTTGCTTTTCCTTTTTTCTCTTTAATTATCATGTAATTTGTTCTTACAGTTATTCTTTAACATAAAATAAAATGTTTTATCACAGAGGACAAGTGTAAAATAGATTTCACTATGACTTCTAAAATAACTAAAAAAACACTTTTAATTTCTTTCCTATAGTTTTTTAATCATATGGTTGTAATTCGAAATCATTAGTTAAATAATGGAAGGTTGAATAATTTGACTTCAATTTCACTTATCCAATCAAATAGTGCCCAACTATGGGTAGTATAATAGGACACAATAAATGCAATACAATTTTATATAAAACTCATAGCAACAAATTAATAAAAATAAGCTCCTGATTTTAGCAAATATGTAGTATAATATAAAATGATACCAAGCATCTTATATAATTATGATTTAAGATCAAAATCCTGATCTGAGATTACTTGGGTTTTTAAGTATCTCAAGACATTTATCTTTTTTTATTTATTTGTGGTTTAGAGTTTTTTGTCTGAGATATTCATATTTTGTAACTGCCAATTTTATATAAAACTCGCAACAAAAAGTTAATAAAAATATCTATTTTTATTTGATTTTATATTGTATGAGCTAAAAATCGTCTTAAGCCTTATTAGACCCAAACAGACAACTTCTACTATGTAAGCCCAAGGCTGTGACCCAATTCTGGTTAGGCCTACAACATAATTCGTGTCATGGGCCAAACCCACGGCTTGAAACCAACCTTTCTCCAAGTTGGACATCACCATTAGCCCACCTAGAGATAGGCCCATTGGTCCTCTAAAGGGACAAAATCCCACTAAATCCCTATTACACTAGCTTCCTATTTGGGTTTTATCCTAATTCACTTAAGATCTTGTATCTTATGTGAGTTAGGACTCTTGATTCTATTAAGGTAAGTAAATCAAAGTCTTTCCTATTTAGTAGTACTTTGTCATTACAGATTCAAAGTCTTACTAGGATTCGAAAATCTTATTACCACTATATAAGGAGGGGTCCTGCCTCTCATTAAGCATTCAATCTCAATACCACATATTTGCTCCTAAGAGTTATACACCTACGCCATAGTAGTGTCGCAGTGCTTACGACAGACACTACACTAGTGTTTTACATAAGCTATGCGCTTGTGTTTTTTGTGTGCAGGCTCAGCAGATTGTGACACAAATTCTCAAGGATACAATCTTGCATATTAACATCAAATCCCAAAAGGAAGACATGGTATCAACAGAATTCGTGACACAAATACTTGAAATGTGTCCATCACTACTACTGCAAGTCAATGCGAAAACTGAAGAGGAAGAGATAGATTTAGAGAGTGGGCTAAAACCTGAGTGGGAGACGCTGCAGATGACCAATTATGAGAATAACACTGCATTACATGAGGCTGTGCGACATAAACGCTTCCATGTGGTAAAAATATTAACAGAGAAAGGAGACCCTGATTTTCATTATTCGGCTCATAATTTGGGGGAAACTCCACTCTATCTTGCTGCCGCCAGAGGATATAAGGATGACAGTATGGTGATACAAATATTAGAAAGATGCACGTCAGCAGCCCATGAAGGACCCAATGGAAAGACGGCTCTGCATGCGGCAGCCATCGCCTGTAGTTCAAGTAAGTTGATTTAAGTAGAAAATTTTCAAATTTTTATCCCAATAATTATTATTTTAATTAAAATTAAAAAGATTATTAAATAAGACATAAAAGCTAACTGGTACAGTGTAGTTAATTTATTGTTTTGTTGATTTAGGTACAGTAGAAAAGATAATAGAGAAAAAGAAGAGCTTGATAAAAGTCACCGATCAACATGGATGGACTCCACTTCATTATGCTGCATATTATGGTAACGATGTGGTAGAGTTGTTATTAAAAGGTGATAGATCTACTGCCTACATTGGTGACAAAGATCGGAGGATGACACCACTTCATATGGCAGCTGGCCGAGGGAATCTAAAAGCAATGAAAACAATTATTTCCAATTGTCCAGAATGTTACGAATTGGAGGATAATAGAGGTTGGAATGTTCTTCACTTTGCCATGCTGGGTTTAGATGAAGAGGATTTGAAACATCTTCTGAGAGAGAGTTCATTAATAAGGAGTCTTACAAATAAGAAAGATGCAAAAGGTAACACTCCGTTTCATATCTTGGCTGCTACCCATCCTAATTATTATATCGATTATTCCTGGGGCGACATGGAGGCTGTCAACAACCAAAATGTCAGTGTGTTAGACATAATAATTTACGGCTACTCTGAGCTGGAGGTAAGTTTAATTTAGTATTCATAAATTGGTTTATCTCAAAAACAGGAACAGACTAAACTTTTCGCATAAACATATTACAAGTATATATGATTCTAACGTAACGTATGATAATCAATGTATTACAGAAAGAAATTCAAGAATTGTCCAAAGATGTTGGCAAAGGAAATCAATATCCGAAAGGTGTAATCCGCCTAAGGAAAGGAACAAAAATTGAGGATCGCCAAAAGGAATATTTATCTGCAGAAGACGAAAAGGAAACAAGAGCATCACATTTGGTAGTGGCTACACTCATAGCAACCGTAACCTTTGCTGCGGCTTTCACCTTTCCTGGTGGTTATAATAGTGAAAAAGGACCAAACCAAGGCACCGCAATTTTATATAGAAATCCTGCTTTTCAAGCGTTTATAATAACCGATACAATCGCCATGACCCTCTCCCTTTCTGCTGTTTTTATCCATCTTTTTTTGTCCACTAAAAAAATCCAAAAGTCGGAGGACCTGTCCATTCAATTGTTGGGTATTGCCTTGATTCTCACCATGTTTTCCATGGGAGCAATGGTAATTGCATTTATTGCAGGCACATATGCAGTGTTAGAACCTTCTTCAGGCCTGGCCGTTACCACTTGTTTCATTGGCTTCATCTTCTTCCTTCTAGTGTTTTGCGTACTAAGATTAATCCTCAAAAGTGAATAAGATGAATGATATGGTCAAGGGAAAGACTCTAAAATCCTCTTCTCTTTGTATTATTAGCATTGGCTTATTGTTATATTAATATATTGAAAGAAAATTTGATAATATTTATAAATATTTTGTGAATGAGATGTAGTGTATAACTGTTAAATGCCTTCCTATACTTTTTGTTCTTTCTTCAATTTATAAAAAAAAAAAAGGTAGTAGTTATTGTTTGCCTCAACTCAACATCTCATACATCAAACATAAAATATTGTATTAATTCCAAGGAATAATTCACCTTTTTCTTTTTATTTTTCTCTTTTTGGGAAAACAAAAATGAAGGAAAGCCATAGAAACTAATCAACAAAGGTGAAAACCATATCAACCATTAAAGCAGGCCTCCATAAACAATTCCTCTAAATTGTTCAATGTCTGCCTAAACATTACAACTTTGTGCTATTAATACCTATCTAACAACTCTACTCTTTACTATAGCCATAATATTACCTCTACACTGATGCATGCTATTCACTGGGTATCTTTTGTTGGCAAGAGCACAATCACATTGCAGCAATAAAACAGCCCGCCTGCAGTTTTGCAATTCCCTAAAATCATACAAACTTTGCACCTTTACATAATATAACATGCTAGCAGGGTCTTCCACTGTTAGAAGGGGCTGCCAACTGGTTGCTTAAACCATCTGGGTAGCCAACTGTCCGCTTTTGAGATTTGAGAGATTCCTTATTGGTGCTCCATGATGACTTGTTCATACTACTTTCTGGTTCTGCCTGTTGCTGCTTTGGTTGCTCTCTTGACGCTGGGTAGGCCAGTTTCTCAAGCCTCTCTTGTTTATGCAAATCTGTATTTGAACCTTTCGCCTTACAACTCGATGTTCTCATAGCAATAGCATGGTGATGATGATCAGTAGTTAAGCTACTGTGGGTATTAGTCTCAGCAATCGTTTTCTCATAAAACGCTTGTGGTTGAGCCATTGAGCTAACTTCTCCCCGAATAATGCCGTCGGTACTTGGCCCAGGCAACTTCTTATTCTTCAGTTTTTCTTGAGCCTGAACATAATACGTTCAAATACTAATATTTATAGATGACCAATTTCTTTCATTTCCATAAATGAATGTACTTGGAAACAGTTAATAGAATCATAATAATATTTTTTTTTGATAGGAAACATTAGTATATTTAAGTATAGAAAAAAGATACAAAGTTGGACGAAATGTCCACTGTAGGAGAGTTAGATTTTTACCTAAAAAAAAAAAAAAATTTCTTAATATTGTGTATAAGAAAACCAAAAATAGTGAAAATACAGCATCCCAAAAACCAGAAAAACATACCACATAACTCAAAACCCTATCCAGTTATGATAATACGTTCAAATACTGATGTATAGATGACCAATTTCCTTCATTTCCATAAATGATTGCACTTGGATTCATAACAATATAAACTGCCGATATCTAATGAGCAAATAAATAGCTTTAGCAGTTGTATTTAATTACTAGCTGGATTCCATGTTGCCAATACCAAGCATTAGTTAAAAATATACATGCTGCAGATCATTACCGTCAGAATCTATTTTATTATTACATATCCCAAGATGTATTTTTAGAACAAATGGTGTTATAAGTGAGATGAGTTGTTGGGTTGTAAACCCTTGTAAACTGAAATAAAAATTAGAAATCTGAGAATCATATCTAGTTAATTAATGAATAAGAAGGGGAAGACCCCCACCTTTTTTCTTTTGGGATGAGCTACCGGCAGAATTCAGAGCAAGAAAATAGTAAATAGGGGGAAAAAGGGACAAATAAGAAAACTCGTACTAACTCAGAAATTGGGAAGTTTAAGAACAATGAACCAATTATATTTTCTTTCTGAAGAAACAGTAGAGGATTGAAAGATTAAGAATATTAAGTTTAGAAGAAAATCGAATTGGATTTATAGGAATTTATTTATGAAAATGTGTCCACACCTTCTCATCACCATGTGATGCCCTTCGACGGTCCTTTGCCCTAAAGATTGCTTTCTTTATCCCGAGACTGTCCATGACTCCAATTGGCCATAACTCTGCAAGCTGAATCATATACATAAACAGAGATATAATGGCTCATCAGACCCCCATAAGTTTGAAATATAATCCTCTGAATTGTGAAACAAATTCCTATGTTCATGAAGAAAGAGCGAGAACAATTGTTACAAAAACTGGGATAGAAAGTAACACATCAAATTGAAGACAGAACCAGAATGAGAGTGAAGCAATTTCCTGCTCATCAATCCACATTATTTGTTCAAAACTACCACTAGGACATTTAGAAAATACAGTTTAAGATGAAATGGAATGGCAAAACATGATCTGTTGCAATTCCACAGATATTTAAATTAACTCGCTACATTAAAACAATTCACAAATCCTGTATATTCAAAGGTTCAACTTATGGATGAGAAGAAAATTTATTTAGAAGTCACATTCGTAAACTGTGCAAACGTAGGACAGACAGGATACATCAACTTAGACTGTTAGGAACTGTTGAAAATTCTTTTTGGTACTTGTTTTTGAGAATAAAAGCAAAAATTGAATTCTCTATTCCAGGCCACCAGAATGGTTCCTGTAACATTTTCATAAAACAGTATTCAGTAAATGAAAAAAGTAAAAAATATCTATCGAAATGTTTAGAAAAATGACAAAACTATTTATCTAATACAAATATTATAATATATTAGCATTCTTAGAAATGTTTAAATCAAATAATAATTAATTAATAAATACTTCAAACAACTCTAAAGAGCTTTCTAATTTTTTATAATCAATCTAGAGAAATAGTGAAAATAGCTCAAAATGCTTCTACAATTTCCTATACGAAAGTAAGAAATGGTTTCTTTCTTTTCGAAAAACATTTCTAAATGCAATTCTAAGCATGTTTTTCCTGAATCTTGAATTTAGAGAACACCAAATCGTTTTACAAAAATGACAATGAATGCATCCTTAACTGTTGACATCTAGCACGGTACTTATTGCAAATTGTAAAACATTCTCCACAATCTCTTCATGTGGTCTCCTTTCATATTCCCAAAGTAACATCTAAAATCATGCAAGCTACTTGGTTGAGATGGTACTGACATGCCTGCACAAGTTCTATCTTTCCCAAATTTGAGGCTTAACATATTATATTAGATTATAATGCGGAACCTTATTCTTTCACCATTTAGCACCATACAAAAGTAATCAACTTTGCAGAAAAAAAATGTGCAGGTAGTTCATACTGGGAAAAGAGAAGATGAAAATAGAAAAACAAATATAATACCTCAGTATATAACTTTCTAATTTGTGGACCTTTGTCTTCATCCATCCCCTAGACATTAATCAGCTATATCAGTAACATGTAAAATTACTAATGCAATATAACATACAACTATTGGGCATGGTACAAATGAACACCTGGATGTATAGGTCATAAAGATCACACATTTTGTCCTCCAGTGCACTATTCATACTAAATTTTTCTCTGTGGATTCTTTTTTCCTCTGAACCAAATGCTTCTTGAAAATTATCAGCTGCTCCATCACTTTGTTTAAATGCCTGATGAAGGTTATATACATTTGCATAAGGTACAATAGAATCAAAGTTGCTATCAGATTTTGTCACAAGATTCAGTAGCAGCCCAAGAATATCTTTCTCAACTTTGAAAGCATTACATAGAATTGAGCCTAAGAATCTTCTTTGTAACATTGGAAAACATTACATGAAATTAATAGAGGAAAACATCACATCGAAATGACTTTCCATCAAATTATCATTGGTAAGCGTTAAAAAATTGCATTATTTGCAAGCATTAAAAAATTGCATTATTTGCAAGCGTTAAAAAATTGCATTATTTGCAATCTAATTTTTACAAATTCTCACTTCTTGAGAGGAGTGTTTACTTTTATTAAAACAAGTGTAGCGAAGTAGCAAATTTGAACTACTTTTAACAATGGCCAGATAAAAATTTTAAGCAGTTGGATAATTATCAAACTTGACTGTCTGGCTATATACAAATTTTATATTCAATAATATAAAGCATGAGAAACTAAACTAAAACCAAAATTTAGAGTACATAAAAAAAAAATGTGGAATTTCAACAAAGTGGAATTTGAGGAAACCTGTAGTTTGATCATCTCAGTGACCTCCAATTTGATTTGTTGAAATCTATCAGCTTTCTCACGCTTGGCTGACAGACCAAGTAGAACCATCTCTCTCAAGTTTCTCTGCAGCCAACCATTATATATAGAAAGAATTAAAAGAAAAAAGGGACACAGAGAGGGAGAGAGATATTTGTTTAACATGTATAATAAGCAAAAGACTGATAAAATCAACAAGGATATTCCATAAAAAAATCACTAATTGAGTGGTCCCACTAAATTTTCAGAAAAACATGAAATAAAAATTATAGACTCTGCAAAGGAATTATCATCCATTACTATATTGTTTAAAGTTGGTCCCAATTAAAAGAGACTACTTTTAGCAAGGGATAGATTGACATGGAAAAATGGTTGAAGCATTGGTCTTTGATAAATTTGAAAATGAATTTCTCGTAGTTTACTTTCTTTTTGAAAAAATAAGCACCTTCAGCGTTCTAAGCTGCACTAGATGCCCGAGAATACTCATAAGTCGATCAACTAACTCATTGGATATTTTCCCTTGGCTTGACTGCTGAAATTACAATAGAAAATAATCAAAATAACTCAAGTGGAGCTGAAAGCTTAAGCAGTGACTGAAATAGTGTACAACAACAAAAAGAAATAATAAGAAAAAGGTTCATCTAACCGCCAGTCTAGCAACTTTAGCAAGCTTTTGCTTCACTTCACGGGGCAATCTTCTTTTGATAGCTATGGATGAAGTGTCAGCTTCCTGAACTTCTACATTAGGTGGTCTTGCTGTCGAAAACAATCCACATTATATAGCATAAACACACTTATTTATGTTAAACTTCTACATTTATGATTAAGCAAGACTTTATATTTACTAGGAAAATGGCCCATATTTATCATTAGGCAAGAATTTATATTGCCCAAGGAAAATGACCGACTCACATTCTGCAACTACTTTCTCCAACTCCCTGATGGCCCTTTCAAGGGATGAACCTTTTGGCCTCAAACTCGAGACATCCTTTAAATAGGAGGCCATTTTCTGAGAAATGGGATACGAATTAAAACAAACATATGTTAGCACAGATTTCATTCCCAAAGAATTCCATGTCCAAAGCAATACACACAAAATGAAACAGTAAAAATACCTAAACATTAATCACTACATATCAGCAAAAAGGGTTTTACTAGTGTACACGTGTACAGGTGCGCGTGCGCATGGATGTGTGCGTGTGTGCGTGTGTGCGTGAGAGAGAGAGAGAGCACATCATTAACCAATCATTATCAACTTGGGCATGTCTCTTTCCAAGTGCTTATTAAAGAGAAACTACTTTGTTTGAAAAATGGGTGATTATATTTACACCCTGAGAGATAATTTATGGTTTTTCTAAAAAAAAAGAAAAGAAAGAAAAAGACTATAAGGTGGTTTTAGTGACTTTTCAACAAAAAGTTTCCTAGTAAGGAAGTTTTTTAATAGTTTTGAAAACAGCGTATTTCATTAAAATTAGAACCTCTCTCAAGGGGTTTCATGATAATTACCATCGGAAAATAGGCTGAGACCTCCTGGGGAGGTTTTTGATCAATTTATAAACTTCAAGGAGGTCCTTGATGACTTATAGTAGATGTTTACCATGATTTTTGAAACTTCAAGGGAGGCTTCTACCTATTTCCATACCAGTAGGTCCCTTGTAATTAGGTCTAGTCTCAAGGAAGGTCCATGAACTTTTTTCTAGACACTGGATCAGGAAGAGCGAAATTTTGATGCATAATCAAAGTTGATATTACCCCAGATAACTTAAATACAATTTTAATTTTCAAGATACTACATTAGATGAGCATGATTTTACAACCAAAGAATGAGGATACCATATTAATTGGGTTGGTGGTTTCCAATCTCGGGAACAAAATGTGATAAAAAGTGGAAGGCATGATTTAATGTTAGGATAAACATATATGCATCAGAAACATTATGAAAGTTGAACCTACAGTGTTTCCTATAGAAATAACACAGCTCAAACAAAAAGCAATTTACCAGATTCTCTGATATAAATATAGCACTATTTTGCACAAACAAATGAAAAAAACCAAAATCACCCAAGTCTGCTGAACTAGGAGAGATAGTAGGAGAGATAGCACAAGGCAATACCCATAAGATGACTCACCCACTAACACTTAATACAATAAAAAGGAAATCGAGATAGAGTCAAACTCTAGAGATATAATCTGAGATTTTCAGGAAATGCCAGTACGTACCATTGGCTCGGTAGGAGAAGCAGGAATATTAAGGTCAGGCAATCCATTAATTCCATTCTTCTCCCTCTGCCAAACATTTGTCGAGAATTCAAATTCACTGGTGTCAGTCAATATTCTGTTCACCTGAGGCTCTAGTTTTTTAGAAGCATTTTTATCTTCATATCTCAAATCGATAGCACCAGAGAGTTTATTCTCATCCTTTAATTTGTTCCCCAAACTCCTGCAATGGGCAATTCCAATCCTCTGCTTTTCAGTATCTTTTGAATTTAGATTAAGTACAGAAGCATCTTTATTTGGGATTCCTGCATAGAAAGAATACTCAGATTTAATGCTAGAATCAGCAAGCTTCTTTCTGGAGAATACTGTTGGAGAATTTGATGGATTCTGTGATTTTCTATCATGATAATGGTCACTGCTAGCAGCAAAATTCTGGGAGAGACTGGAAGGTTGTTTCCCCAACAGTAATTTCTTTGCAGCAACTTTCGGCCTTGCATGACCTAATTTTGCATGCTTATTTGGTACATGATCATCAGTCTTCTCTCCTAAAGCTTTTGGAATATATTTCTTCCGCTTTTTCAGTTGGCCTTCAGTAGAATCAGTGGGTTCATTTCTGGCAATTCAATAGAAAATAAGAGTCAAGCATAGGCTGAAGATAAATATAAAAGTATTAATTGGGGATCAATGGAAACAAAAGAAAGGACGAAACCGCTCATTTTATTAGCATGCAAAAACCAATTAACAAAATAGAAGTTATGGTCCACGACAGTAATGATAAACCAACAAATCCATATAGCATAAATGCTTCTACAAGAATTATATCAATGCTCAAAATCAATGCTCTGGAGATGCATGTATTTGCACATAATTTTCTGAAACATATCCAGCATTCAGACATATTAAAATATGTCAAATGTACGTTAATTTGTACCAGGAAAGTAATGTTAGATAGCAAAAGAAGTGTTCACAAGATATATTTCAACTAATATATATTTAGAATTCTAGTGTTGTGATTACTTGACATTCAGTTGCAACTGTAAAAATTGGCTTTGAAAAAATATAACAGTTTCTCCCTGCCATTTGGTATTCTACCTTCACTAGAACTGTTGTATCCTTGTCACATGCCTCCATAGATATAAATTCTCCCATTATCAACAGAAAGACATTAATGAGCCCTGGCTAGTACAATATCTACACGCTTGGCCAAGATTACAGAAGGGGTAAATCCTAACTAGATATTTTGTTCTTGGAAAAACTTTCATGTGATATTTAATTTGGATGATAAACCCTTTTACTTTCCCGTCTAGCAAACCATGATTTGGTGTTATTAATATTTATCAGTAGTTCTTTTTAACAAAATTACGCTATAGTGATGAAAATGTTAGGAACACAATAAAAAATATTCTTCCCTCATAATCAATTGGATTTTTAGGATAATTAGGGAATTTCAGCACAATTAGGGAATTTTGTAAACTGAAATTTGCGCCACAACATATATTCACCATTGCTCCAACTTACCAATGCAATTGTGCTTCTTTAAGCAAACATGTGTCAATTTGCATTGTTGTTTAGAACCAGTCATGCTTAGCATTACGTGACCTCTAAAGTTAAAGTGATATAGGAATGAACCATTTTCTGAGGCCTAGATTTTGTAGCTTACTGGCTGACATAGAAACTTGTAATTTATAAAACCTAGCAGACAAAGTTCATATCCTTTCTGCATCCTGTATCCACTTTTAATTTATAACTTGTCATATCCTTACTCATACTCCTACTCATCCCCTTTAACTGGAAAACCAATGCAACATAGTCAATGCTGAAGAAAAAAATCTTAATCTCCCTATGTAACTTCCCCAGCAAACTTCCTCTTCCTAAATCTTCTTTGGTTGAAATCTTAGTTAAGGCATCTTGAAGTCATATTTACAAGTCCCTCCTAAATCTTAACCACAATGCCAACCAAACAACTGCAAAAGCACATACATTTACTGTATACCTAAGACACTCTTGTCATCCCCATCACCAAACACTGAAAAGCAAATAATCCCTTCTATCAATTGGCAGTGCATCCAAAAACTCTAATCCCCTATCCATGTACAGACATAATAAACCCACTTTAACTTTTTCAGAAACATGCAACAAAATTAAGACTCTATCTAGTGCATGACCCTCTTCTGTGGTCCCATAAGAATTGGAGAGGAGTGATTCAGCAAAACCGATCAAATAAATTATTGTAACTTCATTTCCTATGAGAAATTCAGTACAGTCTATATAATTTAACCAGGAAATAATTACTTTATTTACAATATAGAAACAGTATGTAAAAGGCATTGCCCATCATGACCAGTTAAATAAACACTTAAAGCTCGGTTATCGGCCAATATAAAATATGGTAATCTAAAATCATAAATTCACATTTGTTTAACATATTTGGACACTAACTGAAAGTTTATGAACACAGCATGAGATAGACCTATACCATAATAAAGACATCTCAGGAAATATTATTTTCCGGTATTCCAACCACAAAAAGATATGAAGAGCATACAAAGACTATTACAAAATCAAAAACCAAGAACAGTAGAAAGCTTGCTAACAAGACATATAACACAAACACACAAATATATAAGGAATAGACAAACCACCACCGAAAAAAAAAAAAAAAAGGAGGAAAAGAAACCTTACAGCTGTTTTGATTTCCCCTTATTATCAGTAAAATCGTTGTGCTTAGTGGCTGCCTTCTCATCTTGGAAATATTCATCCTGCATAGAAAGAGACAAATTATTACTATAATTTGTCCACATCATAAGAATACATATTTGTGCTGCAATCAAATGTACTGTTACACAGACAAAATCAACCCTTACAAGACATCTGAAAAAAGGAGACTTTTTGAATCATAATACTTGTTCCACTAAATAAGGAAACCTTTTTATCATAATACAAAGAACTTCTAAAAAGGTCACCCAAAATATAACACTCTGTATGAAAACAAACAAAAAGGGGATAAAGATGAATACATAATAATTTTTTTGAAGCTCTTCCTCTACCATACGTCTCAACAAGTTATTCGATAAATTGGACAAATGAATGATTATAATTTTCTCAATAAAGATATTGATTATAACAGCAATAATTATGCATCTAAGTTTCCTATCAAAAAATAATAGTGATAATAACAATAACAATAACAATAATTACAGCAATGAAAAATTAATTTTGTTACTATGTTTGTGATAGTAATTATGATACCGACCAGATGACCATCATCTATCTATATTCCTATCAGAGGCATCGTCTTCTTCTGATATTTCACTTTGCTTACAATTAAAATCATAGTCATCAATGCGCCACAAACAACTCAAACATTATATAATCTCCAAAGTAGTCCTGATTATTTGATTTTGGGCCATCCAAAACTATAAACTCCATTCACTTTAAAAGTCAAGAAAAATGCTATAGCTGTAAAAAAAATTTATCAGGTTACCTAAATCCTCACATTTATGTGTTGTCTCGATGATAAGCTAATCATGAAGATCAAAAAATAAAAGAATGACTAAAAAGCCACAAATAAAATTCCCTATAATCTAGGCAGCAAGCTATTTCTTTCATCAAAGTATTGCGAACAAACCCAAAATCTATTGTATAAGTTTCAAGTGTATCAGCAAACACTGCACTTAAAGTTGATGCAAATGATAAAATTAATGTCTAACAATTAGGATTTCATGTTCTTGGTAGGGTGATAAAGCTGAAGTCTTGTGGATGACGCAGCTCTGGCAACTCTTTGCATGTTTAAGGAAGAATGGAATATAAAGATCTTGGATAATTCAGGAATACATATCAATGTTTTCGGGGATAGAATTCAGTTGTTAGGCTCTCTTTGGGCCTCCATTTCTAGAGACCTTAGAATACATCCTTTATGTTCACCCATCTAAATTAGTAGAGCACATTGGCTAGATCCGTTTCTTCTTGGGCATTTCCTGAGAGAATACAAAACAGCATCTACAAGAATCTATAGAATAGCATGTCCATCACGCAAATCTGGGTATCACAAAAGCTCCACTCAATAAAATTAAACCATAACAACATCCAATTACTGTAAACAACCACAAATGTTAGAAGTGCCACAATGTTCATAATTTCTCAAAATAAAATAAATGACAAAATTCCAAGAAGCACAAAGCAAAACCCAGTTCAATTAACAAAACCCTTATCAATGCACGGCTTACAATTTAATAGAAATATCAAACAAACTACAATCCTCAAAAATCCCAGTTCAAAACTACAAGCAAACAACAAATTACACAAAAGGGTAATCATAAAGAGCCTCACCAGAGCGACCTGAACCTTCTGAGTCTCTTGAGTCAAAGGAGGTTCAGCTTTGTGAGCATCCTTAATCAGCCTCTTCCATGAAACAATTGTGGTCTCACCGGGCCTCAGCTCAATGGTAAACCTCTGCCGAGTCGAAACCGGACAAGAATCGAACTTCGAAGTAGAAGAAGAACTGTTATCAACCTCCATGAATTAATTAATTACAATGACAAAAGAGGGGTTCAGCCATAAGGCAAAAAGCTGTGATCTTTGGGGCTTAAAGGGAGAAAGGGAAAAAGGGTATTGCGAAGAAGGACGGGGTGTTGAAAATGGTGAGAGAATTAAAGGAAAGAAGAACAAATAGGGGTGTAATTGTAAAAATTGAAAGGCATTCAAGGGTTTGTAGATTAGATTTAGATAGATTTTGAGTTCGCTTCAAAATTCGTGAGGGACATGTCATCAATAGTTGAATTTGACACTTCGCTAACCCGTAATTTATTTTTATTTTTCTTCCACATATAATGGATTTTAAAAGCAAGTAATATATACAATTTTATAAAAAATTTAAAAAATTGCATAAAATTATTTAATTTTTAAAAAATTATATTAAATAACTTTTTTTTGGTGAGCAGTGAAAATCCACCATTTATAAAAGTTCGTCAAAAAATTGCCCATTTATAAAAGTTGTTCAAAAAATAATTCTGTTTCAAAACTTCAACAGATTCTACCAAATTACTTCTTGAAACAAAAAAAAAAAAAAAAAAAAAAAAAAAAAAAAAAAAAACTATATCCGGCAAAAACCTATCAGTTTCTATCGGTTCACCAATATAGATGTTTAACATTAACGGGATGTTATCAGTCATTTTGGAGAAAATTTAACTGCCTGGCCATCCCAAGCTTCGAATTAAGAAAATGGTCTTGAAACTGTTTTTCATTTTTTTTTTAATTTAGAGAAGATGACGTGGCATACACGTAAAATGGGTTAAAATGAAAATATTAAAACATATGTGGGCCGAATCAGAAATAATAAAAGTTTTTAAAATTTGAAATTTCTCAAAACAAGCCCCACTAACTATTCACCTCGGTTAATCGAAATTCATTAGGGCAAAAAGCGATTTCTTGAACCAAAGGGAGACAGTGCGATTTCCGATCGAACCCGCAAATTTTCACACCATATTCAATCGTAAACTCAATTTCTTAAACCCTAAATGGAATATAGTCGCGATTTTCGGCGATAAGTCACGATTTTCGATCAATTTCTTGAACCCTAAAATCGATTTCTTGAACCCTAAACAGAATCTGCGCAATTTTCGGCAATACAGCCCACATTTCTGATCCAAACTACAAATTTTCACACCAAATTCAATCCAAAACCATGGCTGACACTCACAATGACAAGGAAAACCCAACGCCACTTTGAATCCTAGATTCTAGTGGTGCAAGCAGTTCAATGGCTACTTCGGTGGATCATCCGATCAGTGAAGGTGGTCGACAGGCAGAGGAGACATCGGCGGCACAAGAACAGAGGGAAGAATCGGCAAACGGTTCTGAAGACGAGGAGTCAGGCGAGAATTCAGGCCAAGAAGAGGATTCCGGTAAGAATTCAGGGCATGAGGAGGAGTCTGGCGAGAACTCAGGCCAGGAGGAGTCTTCCAAGGATTCAGGCGACGAGGAGGAGGCCGGCGAGAATGAGCAGGCTGCCGAAGAAAGGGTACGTTATGAACTGTCGCTTAAGCGATCATTTGTATCGCTTAAGTGATTAACCTCTATTACTCCATCTGCCTAGATCTAAAATCGCTTAAGCGATCCTTTATATCGCTTAAGCAATTGATTAAGTTGACTCTTGGTCGCTTAAGCAATTTCAGATGGCTTAAGCAATCTTTTCGAGGCAGAATCATAGATATAAGATCGCTTAAGCGATCGTTTGTGTCGCTTAAGAGATTCTTTCAGTTTACTCTTGGTCGCTTAAGCAATTTCAAATCGCTTAAGCGATCTGAAATCGCTTAAGCGACCACAGTGGTAATTTTTTGTTGCTGATATTTTGTTTATTAGCTCTTTTGGTTTATTTTTGTTGCTGACATTTTGTTTATATCCATTGTGTAGATTGTGCGGACCGTAAACTATACAGACTACGAGTTGGACCTTATAAGCGATAAGGTGCCCTACTTCCCTGCAAGGTGACGGTCAGGTCAAGTTGGGAAGTTTTTGACAGAATACATGACATTTTAGATAGAATTATGCATGATAAAAGAGATTTTAGTCGCACTTATTTCGGTCGATTTTTAGGACTTGGAAATCATTGGAAAAAGGCATTTTAGGGGTAGGGAGTGCATTACATGTTGCTGCACTCAGTAAGATGCAATAAAAAAATAAGAAATGTGGTTTGTGGTGGGAGCCACTACGTTTTGGCATGATGGAATATGCCCTGGTGACGGACTTAGGATGTGGGGAAGTGCCAGATAAGAAGGCAAAGGCAGTAAAGAATAGTCAGGGAGCCAAACAGTTTTATAATGAGGTTTTGCAGGGGGATAAGTCTATTACAGCATAGGTATTAGAGAATAGGCTAGAAACAATTGAATTTACTGATACACTTTACATTCGATCTTATTGGCTGGTGACTCAACAAAAGCTGTTGAGAAAGATTGGTTGTTGTTTGCAAGCAACTTGAAGTTCTTTAATTCTTATCCATGGGGACTGAAATCATATGAGCGAACCATCAACAGCCTAAAAAAAGTAGACATGGCGTTAAAGCAGTCCCAATGGGAGGGGAAGGATAAACCAAGCACGTACAATTTGTTTGGCTTCCCATGGGCAATGCAGCTAAATATTAATAGATTTTTGTTATATTTTTTGTAACATATGTGTTTGAATTATGATATGGACTGTTTTTTTTTTTTTTACATGTAGGCTTGGATGACGAGTCATCCCTTCTTCGCTAAGGGGGGGGGGGGGGGGGGGACAGTTTGGATGTGCAACAGCAATTTCCTAGGATGTTGCAGTGGCATGTCCAGAGGTACACCCATTCGAATTACGAGCAAATAGACGTTGATATTCAGCGCGCTGGGGTAAGATTAAAGACTAAGCTTTTGAATATGTAGTTGCTTTAAAATATCGCTTCATCTGATTGATTTTCTTCTTATACAGGGAGTCGTCCATCCCTTTCTCACCGCTACTGGGCTGAAGCAGAAGAGACTATGTCAAATCTTTCAAAGCACTGGAGGATGCAACGATGAATGGATAGACCACCTGATGCGGGACCTAAAAGGGGTCACGCATGTGATGGCATTGCGGGGCCACTGCTTCACAACATGGTTGATACCGAGAGGATGAAGCTTCAATCGGCCTAAGGTCCGAGGAGAGGAGAAGAAAGGGAGAAGAAGTTCGTATGCCTCAGCAACCGTATACAAGTACCGCTTTGCCGAGCATCGACATCGGGAGAATGAGGTTGCTAACCTATTACAACAGTCTTTATGCAAGGTTTGACAAGATGGAAGAGTGCATGAAAATGGTGGAGGAGAAATGGATAAGCTGGAGAGAAAGTTGGTATAGTGGAGGAGGATTCGGTACATGGAGGAGGAAGTTGGTGGAGATTAAAGGTGGTTGAAGTCAAACTGGCTTGAAAAGAGAGAGCCGGAATAGCAGTTTGTGAAATCGCCTCACATGGTAGTGACACAGGTAAAGAAGAAGAAAATATAAACAAATGGAGGAAGAACCAGAAATAGAGGAGGTTGGTGGAGGAAGTGGGTGGTGATAATGGAGGAGGGGCGAGGTGGGAGGCGAAGGAAGTGGGGATGTAAAAATGGAGGAAGCGAGAGGAGGTGGGCAAGGGAAATTGTACTCAAATGTCGATTTGTATAGGCCAATAGAGGAAAAGAAAAAACTCTTCTATGCCTATTACAATGGATCAGGAAGTAATGGCCATATAAAGTGTAAGACATGGGATTATCCCTGGGAATGGTTTTGGAAGTTGTTGACGATGGGTACGTGGCTTGAGAACTCGGTGAGTTATTTTTGCTTAATTTTCCTTATTTTTGCCTATGTTTTCCATACTTATCTTGTTGTTTTTATTTGATATAGCACATCGATGAGATATTAGCACTAATGAGGCTACGACAGACTACTGATGGTGATCTATTGTATCCCGACTGTGTCATCACTGATATGGCGTTTGGCCAAAGGCTTGTTTCGGTATATCCCACTTTAATTAAAAATGTTATTGCTAGTGGTGCAACAAAAGGACCGAAGCGAAAAAGATTGGCCCCAGTACAGTTGGACTGCATCCCTGATGATTTTCATTTTAATGACAGAATTATGCAGTATATACGGGGGGATCAGCCCAAATATGGCCACAGTTGGGCTTTTGTTAAAAGAGTGTACTGCATCATCCTCGTCAAAGAGATACATTGGATAGCAGTCGTTGCGTATCTCGAGGAGGGGTTGCTGAAGATCCTTGACTGCAACCCCACTATTTGTCGAGACAACCAATTGGAGATCGAGTTGGAGCCACTGTCCACGTTTTTCCCGCGGCTGTTGCGTGACAGCGGGATGTTTGGGCACTTGGGTGATCAAGTACTAACCGGAAAGTGGCCAATTAAACGCTTTATTGGCCCAATAAATGAGTCAAGGTAACTTTTGTATAAAACTAACTTATATAATATAATTGTTCTATAAGTTTATTCTAATATTAATGTCTTCTTCCTATTGTAGTACTGAATGTGGGGCATATGCCCTAAAATTTATTGAGTTCGTTGAATGACGAAACAATGAGAGATTGTCAGGAGGGCTGGGCTGTTAACTGCTTCCATGGGCAGATGGATCCGTTTTGAGTGAGCAGAACCCAATAAAAAGGTATGAAAGTTGGACTTTGAATTTTGTAGTTTATGTGATGTTGATGTTGATGTTGATACTTGGGTTGTGGTGCTGATGCTGCAGGTGTCATGCTTATATGGAGCTTTACCGAAAGACACGGACTGAGTGAACTTCTCACCTACCCACACTGTAACTTATTTACGTGTTTTTTTTTTTTTTTTATTTACAAAAGTTGACATGTCTGCAGGTTCCTGGCAAACAATGAGAGGAAACTTCTCAAACAAAGGCTGGTTGGAAGAGGAGAGGAGGCATCTGCAATAAAGGCTGCTGGGAAGGCATGGTACAAAACAATGACCTCAGAGAGGTTGCTGGCAAACAGAATTCGAAAACTTCTCAAAGGCTGGTTGGCAGAAGGAGGCATCTGCAATAAAGGGATTG